GTGATGAATTTTCATAATACTCGCTCTAATACATAGCTTTATACCAGCAACAGTTATCACATCATCATTTTCAAATCGAAATATTCCGAAAACGGAACACAGTATCGAGTTTCACACAAGTTCACATCAAATTTGGATTGAAAAATCTAACCTCAAAAAACTTATGTTCAAAACTACTCGGTATGAACCGTGTAACTAGCGCCCTCTATGAGAGTCAGATATAAAAACAAATGCATGCGATGTGTCAGATTCCAAGAAACATCCATACAAAATGTCATCACAATGTTGCCAGTAGTTTCGACATAATCTTGAAAAATGTGTAAAAAAATCATTTTTTCAACACCTTGTGTCTTGATAACGGATGCCGTTACGAAAATTTTTTACTGAGTAAACCCAACTTTTTTTGCAGTGTTCTACCTACCCTAGTAAGGGGGTCAGGTTTTTTTGAAACACCGTGTATACACACACCTATATACATACACAGACACACACACACACATATATAAGAAGTAAATTCGAGTTGTATTTATACTTTTTTCTTGCCCAAACCGTATGAATCATCAGACAAACATCAGACGTATTCGTAATCAGTAACTTCCATCCGAGCTTTCATCTAATAACATATTATGATAACTCAATGGAATGACGCAAAAGATTACCTATATCATTATACCAACATACAGAAGATTTATTTTCCATACCAAGCTGTATTACTTATTGACCAGTGGTAAACGATTTTTCATCATATACAGGATGTCCCAGAGTCGGGTCCAGAGGCAGATACCGTAATTCCTCGCGTAATTCTACATAATATAGTAGTAATAATGGTAGATTGTTTCATTAGGATCGAAGCGAAGCCGAGTGAGGAATTTTTTCAAATGTCGCCCATTTCTGAAATAATGGATTTATTCCATACATTTGCATCATACTGTATAATCATTATAAATGAAAAACTAGTCATAGCAAAGAGCTGAAAATTCTCCATTTCATTGAGGTATTCATGCTTAGTCTATTGATGAAAATAAAATCGGATCTCAACGGTGAAAATCTAGAATTAGGTGATGATGCCTACATCTTTATCATTCTCTTGAAGTACTCAAATATCTGATGTCACTTCTGTCAGTCTAATTCTGTGATTTGATTTCAAAAAATTGCGAATTTAGTGGTTGTCTAATAACCGCGAAGTCGAATGGAGAATAAAACGACTTGCAGTGCTTTCTCGGGGACGGTATTATTGACTCATTTTTCGAAACTTAGCACAACAAAAGCCATCAACAGTGTATATACAGGGTGTCTGTAAAAGGTCTTTACAAAAACATACCACATATTCCCTTTCGTGCGCTCCAAGCGATAAAAAAAAAAATTACCTCAGTACAAAGTTGCATCGTTTGGGCACCAGAGGGCGTTGAACTTACAATTTTTAAATCGTTTTTCCCATATAAATTTGAAACGGCATATGCGATTTTGCTGAAATTTAGTATATTGATAGAGTTCTATGTGGCCAAAAAAATGGTGTTAAAATTTTGACCGATAATAATACATAGGCGTAGAACTTGATGTTTTAAATGATTGCACCTTTAAAAATTCTACGCCAATGGAAGAAAATGAGTTTGAGTATGAAATTCAGATTGCGCAACTCATTTACTTTAAAAAAGGTACTCCTGATAATACTCGATTGCTCTCATGGTTTTGACGAAATTCGCATTTTAGAACATAAACAATAATTATTAAAATACAAACTTTGTCAAAACTATATGAGAGTAAATCGACTGTTATTAAGGGTACTTTTTCGTAGTAAATGAGTACCCAATCCAAATTTCATACTCAAATCCCTTTTCTGCCATAGGCGTAGAACTTTATTTTTTAAATAATTGCACCTTTAAAAATTCTACGCCAATGGCAGAAAAGGGGTTTGAGTATGAAATTTGGATTGGGTACTCATTTACTACAAAAAAGTAGGTACCCTTGATAACACTCGATTTACTCTCATGGTTTTGACAAAGTTTGCATTTTAATAATTATTGTTTATGTTTACGATTTAAAAATTGTAACTTCAAGGCCCTCTGGAGCCCAAACGATGCAACTTTGTACTGAGGTAATTTTACTCAAATATGTGGTATGTTTTTGTAAAGACCTATTACAGACACCCTGTATATGTACTCACTTTTTTCCCACGGGAAAAAAGTTATTTATGAAAAGTGACATTTTATAACCTGCCAACAGAGATGAAATGCCAAACTTTTTTCCCGTCACAGAAAAAATAACTAATTGCTATGATTTTACATAACGAATGATTGCATCAAATACTATTTATATACGGAATGCTCAATATGAAATTGTAGCGTAAGTTCGACTAGTGTGTACAGGGCTCGGTACAGGGTATCCCAATTTGGGCACTTTTGCGGGGTATCTCCCTTATCAGTAAAGATAGAGCATTGCGGTTTTCGCGACAGTGTGCTACTTTTTTATGAAATTAATAATGGCGCAAGCAGAATTGTGATAGCTCTTCCGGTTGTCGAGATACAGGGTGGAATTGAAAAATATCACTTTTCAGGCACCCTCCGTGTCTCAGTTATCTTTGAACTTATATTATGTTTGAATGATGTAATAAATAATTAAGGAATGAGAAATCAAAAAATATTATTTGAATTGAGTTTGAAAGTATAAGAAGTATAATAATCACTCACATAAATTTTGTTTTCAATAAATTTTAGCCATATCCTTCTACCTAAAAATTTTTTTTGAAAATCTGAAATTCTGAGCATGTTTTTGAAAATAATTGTATACAATTATATATTTCTGGAAAGCCCACTTCATGCTCAATGTATATATGAAATAATATACAGGGTGTTCCATTTAAAAAAACATATGTTTGCTCCATAACTAAAAAACAAAAGGTGCTAGCAAAAAAATAACTACGCCACTGGATTCTACGAGAAAAACTATAAAAACAAGTTCTAACTTCTTCGATAAGTTCATAGATAACTGAGACACGGAGGGTGCCTGAAAAGTGATATTTTTCAATTCCACCCTGTATCTCGACAACCGGAAGAGCTATCACAATTCTGCTTGCGCCATTATTAATTTCATAAAAAAGTAGCAAACTGTCGCGAAAACCGCAATGCTCTATCTTTACTGATAAGGGAGATACCCCGCAAAAGTGCCTAAATTGGGTACCCTGTACAACCCCATTCATTAACCCATTAACGCCCGAATTATTTTTTTCAAAAGCAAACAATAACTGTCATCAAATTATGACCATTAGGGATGAGACTGAATGAATCATGGAGGGATCCACTGTATTTTTGGCTTATTTTCTCTAAAAAAAGGTGTTACCATATGGTAACGCTAGGCGGATTAGATCAATGAAAGAGTCAATGAGAGTATAACACGTTTTTATTAGAAAGAACATTTATTTGGAATGGAATACAGCAAAACATTCAATACAGAGGCCGACATCACATTTCTGGCACATTGTTCTGATATGCGAACAGCAGTCCTCGCCTGCGCAACGTCTGCGCTTCTTGTTAGGCACTTGAATGACCAAATGATTCCTCGAGTCGTATCGTAATTCGTCAGAAACTCTATTCAATGTCACCGAACAGCAGTACTATATAGAGGCACCAAATTTTATACCCAAAGCGTATGGGCTTTCCACGAATGAACTGCTTACATCCATGCTTACCAAAATATTTCACCATGCTCTCATCGAAACAGAGATGTTCTTCAGGCTCGAAAAGAAGTAAACAATTCTTTTTCACTTTATCCATCAATGGTCTAAGCTTCCAGATTTTGTCTGATAGGTCTGGTTTATGGTTGTCAGCAAAATGCAAGAAACGTGATATTTCTAAAAAACGGTTTCGTCTCATAGAGTTGTCTATCAAGTTCATTTCTCATATCAGATTCCACCCAGTAGAATCGTTTTCCTGGCAATTCATTATAACCAGTGAGTATGAGAATTGCTATAAAGCATTTCATTTCGTCTATCGAGATTTTTCGAGATTTTTGGGTCCGAACAATTTTTGAATGATGCATATGACTTTGTTTCTTCAAGAAGAAGTTTGATAATATCCTCATCGAAAAACTCTTCGAATGATTCCGAAGGACAACAAATTCATTTGAATTTGGCTGCAAGTCTCCCTCCATCCATTCAATGTTTTTCAAATCTGGTCGCTCAAAGTCAGCAGTCGGAGCAGTGCGAAGTCTGTAACCATCTACTAGTCTCACTTCAGCTCCAGCACACAATTGTGAAGCTGGTAAATTATCTATCAGTCCACCACCATCCTCCTCTCCAGAATCTTCATCTGTCAAAACACCGCAATCAGGCAGTTCGATGAATATTTCACCAATATCTTCCTCATATGCCATTTCCAGTGCCTCTTGAAAAGTAAAACCACGTCTGAAACAAAAACAATGCATGAAGTATCACCATAGTATAGACGCCTAGCGTTACCGTATAGTTACACCTATATAGACATAACCGTGAGTCACATGGAATAACAATAAAGTGAAATTATTCTTCGTGATATCAATGATTGGTATGTTCTCCTGTTGTGATCGAATAATAAAATTAAAAAAAAATTTAAACGTAGGAATTATACTCACTCAAAGGTAGGTTCCTTCCCGTTTTCTGTAGCAAAAAAAAGCCACCAAGTAAACAACACCTGTTCACACTGTTCTTCATGACAGAACTGCACGCTGGTGTTGAGAAACACAGAGTCAACATTTCTGAAAGGATACATGTCGCCATCTAGTTGAAAAAGTTATCATCGATCGTGGAAGCTGGCTTGAAATAGAATTCTGTAGCCGTAACATTTTGGTTACGCTAGGCGGTAATGGGTTTGAAGATGAACTTGAACTAGTATACGCGGGATTGCTTCCATGAGAATTGAGATTTCTCTTACAGCTCTTATTATTTCCCATATGAAAAATATCGATTTTCCCAACTCTATCCATATCCTGAAACAATTCAGTTCCTTCACCCAAACTTTTTGTTGCAGATAAACGTCGACGACAAGCTATCCAAAATGATCTGCGTGCAATGTTTGACCAAGGTCAACAGTTGGCACACCTACAAAGACCAGTGTGAGCAAAACCAGTGCAAACTCCAAGAATGGTTGGCTAACAATTATCAAAATGCCACTCCTAATGGTCTAGCTAATGTGGTAAGCAGTGTACTATTTCAAAAAACTTTATTTTCCAATGAACAATATACAAATAATATACATATCGAGCTAGGTTTTAAAATTCGTGTAAGTAAATGCATTGTTATCTGGCCAAGTGATAGCTATTGGGTTGAAAGAAGACACACGTATTTCGAAAGACCTCCATTATGAGACCAGTAAATCTGATCTATCATCTAGCTTCCTTGGTTCTGAGGTTTTACAGGGTCTCCGGAAAGATCATGTCGTAAATGAAAATACTGATAGAGTGAACCAAAATAATGTCAGTACTTCATATGAAAAAAATATGATGTCGCACTTCGTTACGAAGTTATATTGACCTTGAAAATTTGAATAAATAGTATATTGTACAACTAGTGCGGAAAATGAGTTATTTCATACGAGTTCGTGACAATATGGTGAACCACGAGCCGTGGGCGAGTGGTTCATCATATTGTCACAAGAGTATGAGATAACCTGTTTCCGCACGAGTTTTACACTATACTTTTCCGACAACTTACCTGAAATATAAAACTGTTTGAACGCGGGACGATAATTATACTACACAGTACAACTTCTTATTTTTCGAATTGGTATAAACTATTATGTTCGCATACTCGCTACTATAGAAGCTTATAGTTACTATAGAAGCTTATAGTAAGATGAATTACACAAAATTAACGAATGTTATTTAAAATTCAACAGTATTTGAGTGAGCATATTGGACGTTTCAAGAACTATAAGAATTATTCATTAATCATGTTCTTATCATAGAATGTATTGACCAGAGAGTATTTGGCTTATACTTTTATTTCCCAATTCTATAATGTAGGCCAATAAAATTACCTCGGAGAAGCTTATCGCATTGTTTTTTTTTCTTTTCATGCAATGAAATTATTATACGCCAAATCATACTTGTGTTTTGTGTTTTGATTTTTCTGGAAGCAATCCTTTTGTGTCGTTTCGATTGCTAATTCTTGGATTTCTGAGGGAGTGGAATCTAACATTTCATCGTCGGATGAAAATTTCATGTTTTTTTCCAGAATCAAGACAACTTTGGATAAAAGTGTTTACGAAAATTTTCTTTGGTATATACGTATTTTCGTCTGAAAACACGAATTTCACAATGAAAATGTGGACAAATCGCTATTTATCGAGATATTTTATGAAAAAGTGCGAGTTTTCACCTTTTTTTGCAACCCATCTAGGATATTCATTTAAAACTTACTTGTCCTTCTTTTTTCATCACTGGACACTTTATATACTCACGTTGAACTTCAATAACACATTTTATTTCCTTAGGAACGCACGATGTTCTTTGAACATTATAGGGATTCCCTTTCGTGCGCTCCAAGCGATAAAAAAAAAATAGTGAGGTGAACAGTAGTTTGGTTTCTCGAGTTTCTTGCAAATTTTTTTGACATTCGACCTTTATTTGACATCTCGTATTTGTATTTTGAGTTCTGTAATTTGTATTTAGATTTGTTAATTGAATGGCCGTCAGCTGGTGTGATTGTTCACCTCACTAACATATTGAAAAATTCCAAATAAACCATACTTCTTGTTGATTTTAGGAATTAAATTGTGTTATTGAAGTACAACGTGAGTATATAAAGTGTCCAATGATGGCAGAAGAAGGACAAATAGTTGTGAATGAATATCCAAGATTGGGTGGCAAAACATGGTGAAATTCCTCATTTTTTCGTAAAATATCTCACATTTTCATCGTGAAATTCTTGTTTTTCAGACGAAAATACCAAAAAGACTTTTCGAAAAAAAAAAACCTTCGCATGATAAATGCTGTTTCGCCAAACTTTGCACAACTTATAAGTATAGATATTCACCTAATAAATAACATGTAATTGAATTAAATTTGAACTAGATACTATAACAATGTGTAGAAACCGACACTGTAATCAACTGATTTGAAAATTTGTCATTTAGGCTAATAAAATTAAATCGAAAAAAACCGTTTTGAGGAATTAATTTCCAGCAAACTGAAAATCGTTTTAATACCTCTATTTGGTCCTAAATGCGTGTAATCTGAGTTTGCACCATGTCAGGTGGTGAGCTTAACTTTTGATAGCCAAAAAACCGCCACATTTTTGCACTTTTTTTATTTTTTTGCTTATAGCTGCAAAACGGTGCGTCGGACGGAAAATGTTATTCCATTCAATAATACAGAGGACAAAATTCTGCGTCAAATGACATCTGAAAACATCAAATTCCGTTCAGAGGTATAGCCGAAATCGAATGTTAAAAAAAAGAAAATTTCGTAGTTCGGTGCAACTCGTGCGCGAAATACTTTGGTGATTTCGACTATTTTTTAACTTGGCTGCGCCTCGTTAAAAAACTCAGCTCTCGATCACCAAAGTAGCATTTCGCGCACTAGATGAAAAATAATTATAAATTGATGCAAAATTTGGGCCGAAGCTGAACCGGGCATTCAGATATCCGGATAATTGGACAAATCAAGAAAACTTAAACATTTGGACATCTATCTATATAACGTAAAATTTTATTCTCTACAACTTTTATTTCATGGGTTTTTTCAATAGGAGTATCTGTTTTCACGATATATGTCGTCTTGGAAAGCCGCAAAATGTAAGCTTGCACCAAACTACGAAATTTTCTTCTTTTTTAACATTCGATTTCGACTATACTACTAAACGGAATTTGATGTTTTCAGATGTCATTCGACGCAGAATTTTGCCTTCTATATTATTGAATAGAATGACATTTTTCGACCGAATAACCATTTTGCAACTATGAGCAAAAAAATAAAAAAAGTGCAAAAATTTGGCGGTTTTTTGGCTATCAAAAGTTAAGCTCAACTCCTGGAATGGTGCAAACTTAGATTACACGCATTTGGGACCGAATGAAGGTAATGAAATGATTTCCAGCTTGCTGGAAATTAATTCCTCAAAATATAATTATTTGATTGGCCTAATTGTCTTAGCTGCCTACATAAATTCAGTACAAATTAGATTAGGTGTATTCGCCATTCAATATAGGATTTGTGCTTTGGCGAACATTGTGCGAACTAGTGCGAAATACGTATCATGTCGTGCGGTTTTATAGTGCGAAATAATACGTATTTTCGTATTTCGAATAGGTCGTCAGAAAATAGTATATTGTGCAACAAGTGGGAAAAGTGCTTTTTCCCACATGTTGCACACTATACTTTTTCTACAACTGCACTTATTCAAAGAATCCGAGTAATGTAGCTTATTGGTATTCATTTTATAATGTGGCACTATGCCACATTGAGTATTGTGACCAAAGAGTAGACGCCTTCCCTAGTTCCTCAAAGTTTTTTAAAAAAGTACACTTTCCGTAAAAGATTTTATTTCTGTATTTTTTTAGATTCCATAAATTCTTCGTTTATGCCAATTCGTACTTTTTTCTTGAAATTTCCGGAGACAAATCCAACTTTCGCAGCTTCTTCCATTATCTCTGTCTCTGGCGGTGTATTTTTTAAAATCGTCACATCTCGGTATACATATACATCGTATTATTTATTATGAATTGTTGGAATAATATTTCATGGAAAATGCGATATCTATCAAAAGCACTAAGGAAAACTACCCTAAAGAATTTAAAACACTTCTTCTGACTGAATTCGCTACGCTCGGCTATGAACTGTCAGTCGCGGCAGTCAATCTACTACTTTTCTGCCTATTAAAACAAATAACTATTTTCTCCAAATGACATTTAAAGTAGATTTTTAATGACACTTAACAGGCAGAAAATGTGTACTTTTACTGCCTAGGCAGAAAAAGTTTGTTGCTATGCAACGTTCCAAGTAATTTGAATCAAATCGGTAATCAAAATTGACAATGACTTTATGTGAACAAAATATAATGGATTATTTCGACTCTGCGTGAAATTGAAAAGAATATGGAGAAACATGGCAGAAAAAAAGATGTAATGCTTTGACTGTGAACAAAATATGATGGATTATTTCGACTTAGCGTGAAATTGAAAAGAATATGGAGAACAAATTATATGTTTCACATGGCAGAAAAGAAAATGTAATGCAATGAAACACCAGCTGCGGCATTAAATCTTGTACTTTTCTGTCTAGTAAAACAAGTAACTATTGTATACGACAGATAGACCGCTGAGGAAAATACATGGTGACATCTGGATCTACAGGGTGAAAATAAACCTCTGCAAAATATTGAAAACTTTTCTATGTTCCCAATTTGATAGAAAATTCTCAGGATTCTTTTCAATTTTTTTTTTTTTATCGCTTGGAGCGCACGAGAGGGAATCCCTATAATGTTCAAAGAACATCGTGCGTTCCTAGGGAGGATAGGGACAGGAGGTAGGTATTGGAATTTTTTTTGAACTTTTGGAGATTATATGTTGTTGGGAATACTTCCACAGGCAATGAATTCCAGAGCCTAGCCGTTCTATTATATTTTCATAATGGTCAAGCATATTCCTTGAAATGATTTTGCAATTTTCCTCCTATCTCTTACGGTATTCAAAATTCTTTTTTTTGAAAAATGTGATATTTTGTACTTTTGACCAGAAATATTCTATTTTGTAGGTCTATTGTCTATTTCGAGAGATTTGTTCCTGGATGCGTTTTTGTGACCTATTAGAGTGTTCGGCAAAAATAATGGATAGATATTATTACAGGAAGACCGAGCACTACACATTGATCAACTTTTATAGTATTCGAGCGAGATTGAATGACAGGAAACGAGAATCCACGAAAAACGAAAGCATGAATATACGGGGTGATAGGGCAAGGTCGATGAAATTTATTTTCAAAGAAACTAAGATGATTCATAAATTTATTTGATCCATCTACGATGACTTCTTACTCATCATTGGAATGTTGCTCAATGTGGTATTTACCAGGTATCAACGAATTCATTTTGACTAAATATAGTTGCCAGAGTTCCGAAGGTATGAGATTCAAATTTGGCAGGGGTATTGGATCAGCCTATTGGAAAATTTTGAATTACTCCATTCCCTCCCATCACTTTCGGCTCACCGGAAACGACCCCAATTTTTCATTTTCAAATGTGACACCCTGTATTTCATAACGAATTCGACGGTATCTTCGAATTCGTTATGATAATCTTCAAGTGATTATGGAATGAAATACAGGGTGTCCCAATTGAAATTGCAAAATTGGGGTCTCTTCCAGTGAAAGCGGAAGTGATGGGAGAGTATGAAATATCGAGAAATTTTACAATTTTTTCAATTCACATCTTTGCCAATTTTGAATATTATAAATTCAGAACTCTGGAAACTATGGCTTGTCTAATGAATACGTTGACACCCGGTATACAACATAACCTGAACTAACAGCTTTTTTCTTTGATTTGAAATTATGAAGAAGTTTGAATTGTGTACTCAAAATACCTATCCAACAAGAAAAAGTTATTTGAAATCGGTCAGATAACGATTTTATAGGGATAGAGATGGCAAGTCCTTAAGGTGGACACATGGTATGATTTTGAATCCAGGAGATTTCAATTCAATAATGTGTAGGGTGTTCCGTTTGAAGAAATTATCGTGGACGTCCTAACTCAAACGTGGATCATCCTGTATATTTGATTTTCCCTCTTTTCCTCAGAGATGAATAGTTTGACTGGAAATGAATTTAACCACTGCTCTAGGAGATAGCGCCCAAATTAACGGACGCACTGTATATATAAAAACTCCATATGTAAGCCCGATTGCCCGAGTTCAATGATAGCTATGAATTTGATTCAAAAAGGAATGTGAATGAGACAACAAGGTCCATAACTAGAAATGCCGCAAATACAGCACCGAAAAAAAATCTAGAGGGTCGAGATCATTTTCCCTGTATATTAGCACATTTTTGGAAGCAATCATCATCATAAAGCATCATCAAGCATTCCACAAATCCATGGCAAAAACAAATCCAGGATAATTGAGAAATGGAATTTTGTCTTTCTTTACTTTGTCAATAACTAGCATAATTTTGAACTATTTCTGTTTGCTCTGATTCTGGTAGTAATTCTTTCAATAAAATAACTGGTTTACTAAATTATTGACCGAACTTTTGATGTTTCAATAACAGATAAGAATGTGTATCGATGAAAATGGCCAACCTACAATTTTCAAAGTTCAATAAAACAAAAATGGTTACGAATATCAATATAGATGTTCAATAGCCAAAAAATATATGTTTCATTTAAAAAACTCGAGAAAATTCACTTCGAAAAGTTCCGAATTGAAAGACCATTTTGAGCCACCCTGTATAATTTTAGGGCACGAAAAGTCTTCAGAAATATCACTCATCCTTTTCATTGAATGATATCAGGATTATTTCCTCTTAAATATCATAATTGTGACGACAGTGATTTTCTCGGTATGCATCTGCAGATGATAATATTTCGACAAATAAATTCATAATTTTGATATGATCGGGATATAGTCAACGATATTATAGGGGTGAATGAAGGTCACGGGGATACTTGAAAAACTGTGCTGATATACAGGGAATTCCATTTGAAAAAAAGTATCCCGACCCTCTAGATTTTTCCGGTGCGCCCTGTGTATGCGGCAATAATTCCTAGTTGTGGACCAGAATGAACAGAAGATGGTGTAGAAACTCCTATCAAATCCCATCTACTGTTTTTCAGACGAAGTTCTTGACCACGGCCTACTTGGCAGAAGGATTCTTTTCAATATCGCGGAATAAAGGTCGCATTTTACCCGTTAGATGGCGAAATCTCATCCAAAATTCAAGGTTGGTAGAACTGAAGATAATTAAAATTCCCCAAAATTACAGTTCCGTAGTTCAAATTTATTTGTAGGTAAGCGCCGTTTTCCGTTTTCTGTCATGAAATAAATTTGTAAAAAGTGTCGCCATCTTGTGGACAACTGAGAACTAATATCCCATTATTGCGGAATCTGCGGTCAAGCGTTTTGGGAAAAACAAAACAATGTCTGTGATTACACCATATTCTATCCACCTTGTTGTGAACCTTGTTGTCTTATTCACATTCGTTTTTGAATCAGCTAGAAAGCTATCATAGAACTCAAGCAATCAAGCTACGACGCACTAACGCCCCACCCTGTATATTTCTTCACTTTTTAAACGGTCCTCGATATTTTTTCTATTTCAGAGTTTACAAATAAAAGAAGAACCATCAGACGAAAATGAAAACGAAGATCCTGAAAATCGTACTGAAATGATACTGCAGGTTAAAAGAGAACCTGTGGAATCTAACGAGGTGCCTATGGAAGAGGAGTACAATGAATTGCCACCTCCCCTCTCACCAAATCCTCCTAATATAACTGCAGAAGCAGCAGAAGGTAGGATTTTACTTTATATCGGGTCTTCAACAATGATTGAACACCACGTGACCATATTCTTATGTTTATGCAACCAACAATACATTTTTGTTATTATGTTTACTCAGGTACCATTAGAGCATCCAGATATGTCATATTTGCACCTTAGATCATTCATAACTGTAGTTTCCAGTGTATACGTTCTGTGGTTCACATCCTTCGCAATTTGATTGGCTCGTAAACTTGTCAACTGTCATAGCAGCCAATAGCTTGGCTTGTAAACAAACATTAAAAATAGGAAAGTTGGATTGGTAATGTAAATGTATCTCATCAATTTTGTGTTCGAAATTTATCCTGCACAGCTGCAGCACAGTAGCGCTTTGTAGTTTGTCTTTTCTCCTGTGTTTGTTGATAGTTTATTTTTATTGTTCTTGCATTTGATTCTTTCACTCACAATTACTTTGGAAAAATCAGTTTTTATCAAAACTACATCTACAATTCACTGTTGTGGAAAGGTAAGACGAATAATTAACCTCTTATTGTTTTTATTGTTCTTGTGTTTATTTTCCTTTCAGGATTATCAACATGTTTTTTTTCTGTGAAAATTTCAGAAACGATAAGATTTCCAAAAATTTTGTGGAAATCTTATCGTATGTGAAGTTTTTACATTTGCCATGGATTTTCATCAAGTCACCGAGTCAATTCAAAAAAAGTTTTTTCTGATGATGTGGATGTGTTCGTTAGGACAAAGACACACGAGGCGCATTTTCGCCGAGCGTCTGCCGCGCGGCGGCCGAAGGTACCGCACACACGCAGTTTTCTTTTGAAACATGGTTATTGAAAATTGAACGCTGAAGAAGTGAGACGTTGTCAAGTGATCATGGATTCTGATGATGAATTCTTAACAATAATTGGCTTAATGTATTGCCGATTGAAGAAAAAGAGAATAGATGTATGTGGATTCACCCAATCGTGGAAAAACGTGCAGACAAGGGCTTGTTCAATCAATTTAATGAAACAATCAAAGATGATGACGAAAAGTTTTTCAATTTCGTTAGAATGTCCAGAGAGTCATTCAATGCATTATTCAGCTATATCGGAGGTGATGTTATGAAACAAAATACAGTGATGAGAGATAGCATTTCACCAGAGGAAAAATTATTACACTAGTATCAAACTTTCCGAATCAATTTCATCGTCACACATCATCGTGAAACTGACACACAATCAATATAAAATATTTGGCAACACGCAACGACTTCGAATGGTCGAGAATGCAGCCTCGTCTGTGCAGCTATATTGAACACCAATGCACGACGCGCCGAGCGTTTACCAAGCGCGACGAGCGTGACTAGGCACAATAGGCGGCACATGGTCAAGATGATGTGACGCGCGTTTCGCCAGAGCTGTGACCAGAGATACCAATATTTTTGCGCCTCGTGTGTGTGGTCATGTGTATTAGAATAAGACCACTATGCTGTCTCGGCAGCCGAGCGGCAGACGCTCGGTGAAAATGCGCCTCGTGTGTCTTTGTCCTTAGTGATGGCACATTTCAGAAATGGTACTCGTAATTCTGGTAGAACGTGGACATATTCACTTCAAAGCAACCTGGAACAATGTCATATGATGCATTTCCAAAACGCAAATATCCCATATGATATATTTTCCAATCACGTACTACATAATGGGCGTGTACACCTTAGTAGAACTTTCAACTCAAACCATGTTTATAATGACCCTTTTATACATAAATAATGATTGACGACATGATTCGATCGAAAAATTAACTGGAATGTTTTATTTTTGGACATAAATAATAGTACCGTCTGAAAACGGACCCTCTTATGACGTAGAAACCTCATCTCGCCAAAGTTAAAAGAAAATACCAAACGCCCGACGCAGACTGAGGCAACTGATTTATTAATCCTTTCAACTGTGATCTCACGCTAATTCACTCAGTCAGAAATCATGTATCATTCATCTCTGTCTGGAATAGTCTTGTTTCAGTATTAGGGTTCTGACGTCACATCATCGCCTCGTTTTCAGAGGTCCAAAAAATCGGGGATTTCAATAATTTTTTATAAAACGTAGGGAGCTCACAGCAAGAAACGGTTTGCGGTGGTGAGCTAGTTTGGGTGAGTTCTATCGAATTATGAAATAAAAATTTCTTGTGATACTAGCCCATTATTATGTTTTGAAACAAAACATCTTCAAACACCGAGGTCAAGTGACGTCACCCACAACACATGATATTTCTTTCTTATTTATATTGAGAAACTAGGACTACTGCGAGTGGAGCGATAGCTTAGTGGTCTGTGTATTTGACTTCCAATGTAGTGACACTCAAATAATTTTCCAAAAATGTTATTTTTAGGAAAAAGGTTAATTTAAAACAGGGTTGAAATTACTTTCCTTTTTCATGCAGAAGAGGATTCGTACTTGGGCTACAGAAAATCCTCATAATTTCAGAGAGTCAATTCTACATCCTCAAGAAATGGGAGCTTGGATTGTAATTTCTAGAAGAAGAATGATAGGGCCAATTTCTTTTCAGGACACAGTAAATGCTGGAAAAATATCGAAATATTGTGAGATAGTTCTTTGAGCAAATTCATGATGATGAACTTCAGTTTGGATATTTCCAATAGGATGGAGCTATAGCTAACACAGCTAGAAGAAGTATTCAGTTCCTCGGACAATATTATGATAGGCGCATTATAATTCCACAGGTTTGGCCACCAAGAGCTCCTGATATTACCCCACCAGATTTTTTCTTATTCAGACATCTCAAAAACATTGTATTCAAGAATCCATTACATGAATGACTTCAAATTCAACATGATTGTGTTCAGTGTGTTACAGTTGACTTTTTTTTTAAATTTTGCTGTATCCAATATGATTGTGTTTCATTTAATTCTAGAATATATGAATAATGGAGAGCATTTTTATTGTGTTTGTTGTATTAGAGATGAATTTTGTTCATAATTGCGATTTGAATGAATTTATTGAATTCTATAATATAGCTATAATATGTAAGTATAGGTGTACTTGATTTAAACGTTTCCTCTATAATTACGATTTCAATAAAATTTCCATACAATACATTAAGAAACTTGGTAGGAGGTCCAAGTTCACCATATTTTGCAGATTTACAGTAGGTATCTAAATCTTGGATACCAATTCATCAACTGGTATCATTTTACAATATGATCCACATTTGCGTTGTCGCAACCACCTGGGAATGCGTCATGGTGCTTTTAGGTGAAGGTACATTTTGGTATGTGAAATATTTTATGAAACTGTAAAATGTATACTTTTTCTCCCACGATTCAAACTCACAAGAACCCACAAAGAAAAAGCGTTGCAGGGTACTATTTCTATTTCAACTCTGTTCAAATTTCCAGTGAAATTACAACCCTGCTTTTGACTTTATTTGGTACGCCTATGTTTTATTTTGATAGCAGCTGTTGATTTCCAGTTATTTATTTACCAATTGTGCGGTGTTGGTTGCAAAAACCTATTGGTCACGTGGTGTTCAATCAATGTTGAAGACCCGGTACATGCAAGCAGGTGTTTCTGAAAACAACAAACTTTCGTAAATTATTGATCATCATAGGTTAATAGGTCAACCCAAGCGTTTGCTTTCGGCGAGATCACAAGCAACGGAAGTATCAATGACATTTGCAATGTTGCCGGACGTCATCATATCTCATAAAACACCTCATTTTATTTATTGCCTCAATTTCGGAAACACCCTGTATAGTATGTTACTTGTATACTGCGTGTTTAAGTGTTCAAGTGTTTGCAAAAACACAGTCGAATTTTTCACAAGAGAAAAGTGCACAGTATAATTTTTAGATATCATTTGAATATTGCTATAGTTCAGTTGGATAGTTGAGTTTTTTTGGTTGATTTGCATTTTTTGCGGTCTAAATGAATTATTTTTTTGCATTTTTCTTTTTTTTTGTATTTTAGTTTCTCCTGTTAATGAATATTGCTGTAGTTTGTGCTCGAAAGTGTTTGTTAATAGAGGGAATAAAAAGAGGCATGAAGTTCGTGTACATGGAATGCATAAGGCTCCGACTCAAAAGGACCCGGCAGTACCCTTAACCAATGGTATGCCCTTGTTGTTTGTTCCTGTACAGTACGAGTCAGTTTTAAAAAGTGTAACTTGGAAAATATTTTTCATTATTTCCGCCATTAATCGGGTTTTCAAATTGGAGTCAAATGATACCTCATTCAAAAGGGTTTTCAATTCCCTATATACGTTGCTGCTTAGTTCTAGGAAATCTATCTACTCATTTAGAAAAACTATAACAACTATACTTCGGACGAAAATCTCAAAGTTTGATTCAAAATAACTCATAATTACCACATTCAATGGAGGAAGAAAACTGCTAGGTCAGGAGCGTGCCCATTTCTTTCTGAGGGAACCTGGAATATAGAAAATCGGGATTTTGAAGTATTTTGGAAATACACAGAAAATCAAAATCTCGCCCTCAGGGGTGTACTAAACATTTTCTGAGAAGGTCGAAAGACAGTGATGTCAAAATTCCAAAATAAAATTGATATTGTGACTGGAAGGGCATAGGTTGTTTTTTCTGAAGACGTCAAGAGAAAATGAAGTCAAAACTGCAAGACTCGCTGCAAGAGGTCAAGAGAAAAAACCGTCAAAATTGAAACATTTTCCTTCCGAAAGAAAAATAGTTTTGCGACTTCGGTGGCGTATACATTTTTTTCTGAGGGCACCTGGAGTCCCAATGTTGTAATTTTGAAGTCAACATTGCAAAATATGTTTATATCCAAAAGACTTAAAGCCAAGTGAAATGTCTTCCTGAAGAGGTTAAGAGAAAACAATTTTAATGTTGAATAATTTTTCTTCCAATAAATTTTTGTATGAAAGCACCTGGAATCCCAAGTTGGAATATTGAAATATTTTGGACTTACATCGATTAGAAATTTCAATCGGGACCTCAACAGCCTACTAAGTTTTTTTCTGAAATAAAAATGAAATTGCCACTGCAATAGGGTACTCACTATTTTTTTCTATGGTGGTGGTACTGAACTAATGTGAACCTCTCTTTCCGTTATTTTTCTAATTTTTTTATCAATTCCAACAATTCAGATGATGATCAAGTTCTATATAGTTTCACGTTCAGTTTTCTCTCGGATTTCACAAATATTCACAATTTTGCACGGCCGACTACTATGTATGCGAGGGGATTTTCAAATACGTACATGTACACATGATACAGTCTAGTGCATATTCCCAAAATATGATATATTTTCTTGATCTTCTTATTAAAAAATTGCAAAAAGTAGCCTGAACCTAACTCTCAAAAATGTTTTTAATATAACAAATTATGGGTCTTTTGGATTTCTCGTATTTTTTCTATTCAATTTATTGCTTGATTCAAATACGAGACGGCCTTTGCGTTAGTATACGATGGAAAAACAGGAAAAGTCACAAATTTTCGAAATTTTTTTGAAAATCTCCTCATAACTCTGCATCGATGATGTACTTCGATATGCGGTTTTTATCATCAAAGTTTCCCCTCAGGAACTGAATTATTTCTAAAACTGACTCGCCCTGTACTCGAGATGCTTTTGAATCGACCCAACTTATCAGAAACTCGACTGAAACAAATTATGCTTGGCATTCAGGCACTGCGAGTTCGACAGACGAAGACACCCCGAACAACGCAGACCACCAAAAAATCCAGTTCGCCGCCGGCTTGAAACTGTTGCAGAAAAACGCCACGCCGATATCCTGTGAGGCCCTCTCCAAAATCGAACTCAGCTACGTGGAAAAATGCAAAGCCATGGCCAACATGCATCAAACCCTGACCTGCGCCTGCCACAACGTCCCCTACCAGAATTTGAAGGGCCTACTCTCCCATTTGAGAGCCCTTCGAATCTGGTTTCCTGTTTTTACTTGTTATAGTTGCATGATAACGTTCACTGACAGGTCCACGTTCACCAAGCACATCCTCAAATGCCCCTCCCAACCGCTCGACACTATAACCAAGTTGAGCAACCTGAGGAAACGCAGCGAAGTCAAAACCAGGCTCTATCAAAACTTCAAATGCACCTCCTGCAAGTTCATGTACAGCTTCCATGACACTTTTTGCAAGCACGTTGACGAAGACCACGCTCTCCTCGAAGTCCCTGTGCATTGCCGGTGCGGCAGAATTTTCGACAACCTCGAAGACTACAAAGACCACGTTTACGTCAGCTGCTTGGTAGAGTACTATTGCGACATCTGCTTCATAACCACCAAGACCCTGGACGAATTCCAGAAACACGCCACCGAAGTTCACGATCAGTCCGAAGGCTTTATTTTGCTGCAAGACGACAATTACAAGATCAGGAAAGCTTCCTTGCACATGGGACCAAAAGAAGAGGCAGGGGGCCAAGAAAAACGCGAAAAGAGGTCTTCCATAAAGATAGACAAAGAGGAGGAAGAGGAAACGCCAAAGACTGCCCCAAATCTCGCTATGGTGCACCCGAGTACCGATACCAAGAAATGTCCCATTTGTGGAAAGGAATACTCTTCCTACAAGAACATGATGCGCCATTACAAGATCCACACCAGCGAGCTGGAACTAAAAGAGGTCAACAACGAGGAAAATGGGGGAGACGAGTCATTTTACTCATGTCCTGACTGCGGAGGCATGTATAATACCCCCGAGTGGCAGAAACATCTGAACGAGAAACACAAGATCAAGACTTGCGCGGAGTGCGGGAAATGCTTCCAATTCAAGTCTGAGTTCGAGCAACACAGAAGCACTCACTTGAACCTCAAACTTTACAGAGACTCGAAAACTCAAGCCTACCGTAGCACCATGATAAGCCCCGGATCGGAAGAAGACGAATTGCAGACTCACCACCAACTAGAACATGAAGGGGAGAACATGGAAGTCGACATCGAGGAGGAAAAGCCTAAAATGTTCAACTGCGGCATTTGCCTCAAAGATTTTGGCACTTTTGCCGGGCTGTGGGACCACAATAAGAAGACGCATCCGGAAAAGACGACCCCATCCAGCAATTCCTACCCCAAACAGTGCCCGGAATGCGACAAAGTATGCACCACCGGAGCGGCTTTCTATAGACACAAGCAAATCCACGAAAAAGATATTCCTGCTGATGCGAGCTACAATAAAATACCTGGGAAGGTTAAGAAGACGAACGACATCGACGAAGAATCTTATCACACCTGCAAGAAATGTTTCAAGGTATTCTCTTCCAAGTACAATTTGAAATGCCACATGAAATGCCACGGTATCAATCTGCTCAGCCCATCCAGCAAGAAAAGCCCTAAGAAGCCGTGTTGTAATGTTTGTCAAAGAATATTCAATACTGCTGCAGAGGTATCCGAACATAAGGCAATCCATCATAAATCAGAAGAAATGCCGATACTGCACAAGGAACTAGAAGCAGCAATCAATGGGCCGGTGGTATTCACTTGTGACGTGTGTGTCATGACTTTCTCTACGAAAATAGCGCTGAAAAAACACAAGGAAACACACCTCCAGGAAGGTAAAAAATCGTCCCGCATCCAATCTCAGCTCTCCTGCAAATACTGCAAAATCACCTTCGACTCAATCGTGGCTCTCACAAAGCATATGCACATAGAACACGAAGAAACGGCAAAACCAAAAGCGAACAAGATGAAAGACGTTGCTGGGAGCGGTTACTCCTGCGAGTTGTGCAAGAAAACCTTCCAAACTGTGAGCGCTCTCAACACTCACATCGGCTGGCACAAGCGCGATCCAGCCTCAGGCAGCGTGAAGGTAATGAGAAACCAAAAAATGATGAAAAAGATCGCCGATAGCGTCAACGTGAAACAGGAAACCATCGAAATCCCCAAGTTCCAGTGCGCTACCTGCCTGGCAGAGCTGCCCAATGACACCGCCTTGCAGGTCCACATACTGGAGAAGCACAGGAGCGTCAGCGCCATCATGCTGATCCCTCGCTGCAACACCTGCAACAAAGATTTCTCTACTCAGGACGAGTACGAGACCCACAAAAGGCTCCACGACTTCCTGGAGAGGCAAAAACAGCACGAACAGAACTTGCTGTTGCAGCGACAAGAAGCGGTGTCTCCCAAAATGGAGCCGCCCATTTTGCCATTGCAGAAGGTGACTAGTCCTGTAACGAAACCAGGAAAGAGCTACCCCTGCAAGTACTGCAACGCAGGCTTCAGCAGGTCTGATACTTTGGGGGCTCACGTGAGGCAACACCACAAGGAGTACGTGTTGACGGAGTTCAAGTGTCATCAGTGCGACAGGGTGTTTGACAAGCAGAACTCCCTGTCGATCCATTTGAAGGTGCATGAGAAGCAGCGGGCTGTGCCCATGGCTGTCAGCCCCTCTAAGCCTCTCTTCTCGTGCTCCATTTGTAATATGGGTTTCAACTTACCAAAGGATTTGCGGGCGCATACTATAACGGCTCATCCGTTTTGATGAGCCCCAATGTGGAGCATTTCATCAGGATAATGTTATTTATAAGAATACTAGCGTCTAGGGATTGGAAGCAACAAATAATCATCGCGGTGGGGGAACTTTAACGTAGGCACAGAATTGTGGACATTGAACTGTTTTCAGAATACTCATTTATAGTTTGATCTCCATGCGTTCACAAGTCTTATAAGAGTAGAAACTGTTGGGCAGAATGTTCGAAAACGTTCAGCTCTTTTCAAAATCTCAGAAGGCATTGTTTGAAGTTTCATCCAACTAAGATAGCTTCATCTAAAATAAGTGGAAAAGTGTATTAGTTTTTGTTTGATAGATGCGGACGAAAGTTTGAGGATAAGAATAATTTAACGCTTCTTAAAACCAAATGTTTCAATTTGCCTGCAAATACTGCGGTGAAATCATCAGATTGCCCATTGTGCAGTGAAAAAATGTTGGGTGAACAATTCGGATATCAGGATATAGGAATCAGGAATAGAGATATGATTTAATATTTTATAAACATAGTTATCCATCGAAGAGGCTCACCCCCATATTTACGTTATTATATTTCAACGAGAAAATGAAAACAATATGCAGAAGTTTTGAATGATGGATAACTCTCTGTACACTCGTTTTCAGCGCTATAAAATCACCACTGCAATGAAAGCGATAACACCGTCCAACTGCGACATGGTGTCAAAGAAAAGAAGTATTATGTTACATCGCGCGATCTGTACCCGCGCTGTAACGTTCCCCCACCACGATGTTTTTTTGTGGCTTCCTGTCTCTAGACGCTAGATGTGAACACCTGTAATTAGGTACAGTGTGTCTTATTTAAAAATGCTTCATCTCTCTCTTCGTCTCAGCTATTAAAGTTATTGTAATTCCACAAGTTCAATCATTGGATTGAAAAAATTGAAAATTAAATTATGAGAACAAAATGACATATATTGAAACTGGTCTGAATAGTAGAGCCGTTTGTGGAGTAATCTGGTGGAAATGTTAGGAATTAGCCAAAACTGATGGGGTTTTATGAACTTTTGGGTTGAATGAATAAAAAAGTTTGTAATTTTATTGAGTAGATATTTCTTCATACTCTGCTCATTAATTTTGTGCTGATATCTCAGGAAGTAGGGGGGGGGGGATGTTCCTTATTGTGTTAACGATGATCAATTTCAATCTGGTTCTGTGATTTGAGTATATTATGGATAGGGCTGTGAGTTATTATTGAATTGAAGAGATTGATTTTTCGAAAATCATCAGGGATGAACCAACCCCACTATTATTTTTCAAGAACTACAGAATTTTGAATGTATGATAGCTCAGGCTGTTCTTTGAACTGACAGTAATTCACTTTTCCAGATAGCTTTGAGGTAAATTTTGTATACGGAGGTTGAAGAGCATGAAAAAATCCAAAACACTTCTTTATTCAATAAAAATGCACAGCACTGTGATATTTGTCGTAGGAAAACTGACCCTACTAATTTCAATTGATAAACATACAAATTTGGTTTTGAATCTCATGACTATAATAATTGAGCTGATGAGGAGGGTACATCTAAAGTGAGACAAGCTGTGTATACTTTTTTTTTCTGAGAATATTACTTTTTTTTGTCGTTTATAATTATGTTAGAGGGAACTTATGTTGAATTATTATAAGTATTTTTGTACATTCCTGAGCAAAAGGAACTGGTGTACTAGAAGTTGTGGAAGTTGATATATTTGTCTTTATGAATGAGAAATTGGAATTATTTTTGAGTTTAGGAAGTAATGGTTCCTTTATCTCACGATGGTACCTATTTAGATTTTTTTTTTATAATTATTACTATCAATACATTTAATTTACAATAATTGAATCGTTTCAATATCATCACCCACATCCTCTCTCGTTGCCGGAAATATATCTTGAGACCAATTTCAACCTCCATATTTCTCTTTCATTACAGATGATAATTTCTATTCTTTACCAAACGAATTATTCTCTTATTGGTATTAATCAGAGGTGTCCAAAGTCAAACTCCATAATCTGAGAAAAACTAGAGCTAGTAACATTAGCTGTCTCTGAAAGCACACTCTTCAGGTTTTTTTTCGAAAAACCAGTAGAAATGGGAATTGAAAAAATATCTGTGACATTTCTCATCATGATATTTTTTAGAAATTATAGAGCACTCGCAATATAATAGATAATAATGATGATACCAAAGAACTGACTTTAACACTCTCGTCTACCGTAGCCGTGTCATGGGTATGGAGGTCCCTGACACAAATAACAGGGCGCCCGAGACAATTATGCACCTGCTGTCTTCTTGCACGGTGTATGCAGTCTCGGCCTATATCCATAGAGACAATGCGGCATTGCGATTGCTCTACTACCATTTGAGGCACTCGTACGGAATAGACGGGACCCCAGTGCTGCCCTATGCTCCGGGGGATATTGAGTCCGTTGTGGAGAATGAGAAGTGCCGAATTTATTGGAACTTCTCATTCCCAACCCTCAGGCAAATACAAGCTAACAAGCCTGATGTAGTCCTCCTCGACCATCAAACCAAAGCGATGTTCGGGATCGAGTTTTCGGCGCCAGTCGAACCGAACACCGTTTTGAAGGAGGAAGACAAACGGACTAAATATCGAGATCTTCTCTTCGGACTCCGCCGGCTCTATCCAGACCATTCTGTGGAATTGGTCATCCTGATAATCGGCTCCCTAGGAGGCACACGACATACGCTGCTCTCGGAAATCCTGAAAATCCCAGCGTGCAGCGATAAGGCACACATCCTGGCTGGTGGAATGCAGAAGGCCGTCATTCTAGGATCGTTGCGTTTACTCAGGGCACACGGTTCTTGGTCCCAGTGATTATTTACCCCACAGGCTGAGGGGAGTAGTCACTGGATTTTATCTAGCACGACTTTGCGTCGCCTCGGAGGCCGCAGGGTCGTGACTGGAACTGTATGAATTCAGATTAATAATAATAAATTGCCTTCATTTATCTTGGCGGGGTTTAGCAAGGCTACTCTCCCACTCAACTAGGTTAGATAGATGAAGTACATTCTTGTATACATCATTAATATAATAATAATAATATCGTGAAGTTATAAATAATGCGGGGTTTGTTTCATTATTTTCACAGAATTGAAGAAAAGACATGAATCTGAATGCACAAACATTTTAATATAAACTTAAAAATCGTACAACAATATGAAAAATTATAGACTATTATACACATATTACTTACTTATTTGGTAACAGGATGGAAAAATCCTCAGTATATTGAATATAATATAAGATAAATTCACTACTCATTAGTCACAATAATATTAATTCAATTAGAGATGTTAAATAAACTAACACAGATAGTGACATTCACATATATGAGATAGAGGCCTGCACAGGAATAATTGTTCTAGTCCCTTTGAGATTTATCAAAAAATATTGCTTTTCCAGTATGTCTCACACACCTACGTCATGTGGTTTCAGAAAAAGATGTACAGGGTTCTTGAAGAGATATAGCATGAGAAAAACACTCTCACATACTTATTGTCGGAGAAATTTCAGAATTGAATTTTTTTATTACGACTGCAAGGTCAAACATTTTGTTGTTATTTTTCGCGCAGTAATAGACCATCATCAGTGCTCAAGCCTTTGAAAACGGTAAAATGTGAAAAAAAAAATCATAGTAGGATGAAATTCATCGAAAAGGAAAGCGAATATAACAAAGATGGAAGGGAAAATAAATTACGGGCGATCTGAGGGCGGAAAATGGTAGAGGGTGAGTTTTCAAGGATAAAAAACGGTTTATCTTGATTTCCAGCAAAACTACGAGCCCTATGGAAAAAAAGATGGAGAGCAAAGTTGTAGGTAATAAAGAGACATACAACTTTTGTCATCACATTTTTTTCACGTAACCTCAAAATTTATGTGAAAAATTCAAATAATCAAGTTTTTGGTTTTTTATTTTTTTCTTATGCAAAAAAAAGGTTTTTTTTACGATATTTTGTCAAAACTTATCTTTTTTTGTCCTAAATTTCACCTTATATTGACTTGATATCGAGAAAAAACCCTAATTTTCAATCGAAAATTCTCGCGTCAAAATATAAGCTTTTTAAAAAAACTCGGGGCGTTTTTTGTTCGTCGAAATCTCTTCTTTCTGATAATGTAAGAAAATATATATACATTACTATGGTAAAAACTCGAATCCGAATTTCTTTTGATCACTATGTACAATATCGAGCTATTCAGCAACAGATTGGGGCTGAAGCAACATCAAGGTGGAATTATGTCCAAATTTACAGAGGAGTTAATTCCGAAAATATTGCTCAGAACTATTTGCTGCAGCTGTGAAACTGGATGTAACAGTTTAAAATGTGGAGGCCAAAAACTTTGCTTAAAATGCACAAATTTATGCACAAATTGTCATGGTTCTGAAAAATGCAACAATGTGGAAAAAGAAACCTACGAGGAAGTTAGTGATTCAGATGAAATTGTGGATGAATGACCAATTCAGACTAAAAATAATATTGGATACGAAGACGGTGATGGTCTTGAAGATTTCGAAGATCTCCTAGAATCGGGAAGGTTTGTCGAATCTAACGATGAAGAAATGCCACCGAAGAGACAAAAAGTAATGGATAAGTGATTAGGGTTCAAGATAAGATTCATAAATAAGGAGATTAATGCATTTAATGATATGAATCATAATAATCAGCATAAAGTATCTAAATTCAATAGTACGATTTACATTTCTATTCATATAAGTATTATGAGATTTTCTATGACATAAATGTGATTAGAATTTAATGAATCAACTTTTTGACTGAAAAAAATTGCAGCAATCACATTTTTTAATTGACAATCCCCCTTTAAATGCTATCTTTAATATTTAGAACAACTATTTTCGCATGTTCCTTGCAATCTTCATGTAATCAAAGTGTACATTGTGATTAAAAAAATTTGGATCGAGTTTTCTTCTTTTTTTTTGCATTTCTGAGAACATTTACTATAATAATGTATATTTTTTTTTACATTATCAGAAAGAAGACATTTCAACGAACAAAAAACGCCTCGAGTTTTTACAAAAAGCTGATATTTTGACGTGAGAATTTTCGATTGACAATTAGGGTGTTTTTTCGATATCAAGTCACAATGAGGTGAAAAAAATAAATATTTCGGATAAAAAAATTACAGTGTGTTTAGGACATAAGAAGGTAAGTTATCACCAAATTTCGTGAAAAAAAAAATTTTTGCAGAAGAAATAAAAAATCAAAAATTTGATTATTTGAATTTTTCACATATATTTTGAGGTTATGTGGAAAAAGTGTGATCACAAAAGTTGTAGGTCTTTTCATTACCTACAACTTTGTCATTTAATATTTCTCCATAGGACTTGTGGCTTTGCCGGAAATCGAGATACACCGTTTTTTACCCTTAAAACTCAACCCCTTCCACTTCGCGACCTCAGATCGCCCGTAAATTGTTTTTCCCTACATTTTTGTTATATTCTCCTCCTTTCTCAACGGGTTTCAACCTACTATCATTTTTATTGCTTCAAAAATTATCGACCCTGGTCTATATACTGTATCGAAACCAATACATTTTTGAAATTGTTCGACAATAAGTGTGATGAACTTTTCAAAAACACCATATTACTCCTCCAGAACCTGTAGTTTATATTCTTGCATAGGTATGATCGAGGACCAGAGCTGTTTATCCTGTAACAACAAGTGTTCAATCCACTACATTTTTCTATTTATAGTAAAAAACAACCATCACACATTCCATTGGGCATTCATCCTCAACATTGGAGATGTCTTTATTTCCTTTGGTGACTGAATATTCCAAAGCAGTGGAAAAATTAATTTTTTCTACGGCTATAACACAAAATTGCTCTTGTTTTACTTTGTTCGATACATCAACGAGGGACTTTGCATGTCAACAATTTTATTTCCGTATCTGATATCATAATGTCTCCATTGTGTTATTATTCCAAAAAATCTCATCACTCATGGAAGGTCAAATTTCAATAAATGACAGCTCTGTCCAATAGATGAGCACTACTTGACAGGAAACCAATGATCAAATTCTGATTCAAAAAATTCTAAGAAAAATAAGAATAATGTTAGCTAATTTACTCAGTTATGTAATTGATATTTCAATATTGTGAATGAAAACTTTTCGATGACATTGAATTTGAATTTCATGTTATCTCTCTCCATTGTTAAATCATTTCGTTATTATAAATAAGTTGGAGCCGTAGAAAAAGTATAGCTCATACCCAGCCAGCACAAACATCCCTGGAATGTTTTGGGATGTTTTGAAAATGTTGGCATAAAGATTTTATTTTGAGACGTAATATGCACTGACCAAAGAGGTCTTTGAAGGATATTGAAGTATTGTTTCTGTTCTTCTGTGGCATTTCTTTGTTTGCCTACTGAGAGGTATCCCTGGGATGTTTTAGAAATGTAGGCATGAGGATGTTTTTTCGAGACGTAATATGCACTTCCCGAAGAGGTCTTAGAAGGATATTGAAAGTATTGTTTTTGTTCTTTTGTGCCCTTTCTTTGTTTGCCCCACCACAACGTCTCATGCTTACGTCACAATACGATGAATTCTGATTTGTTTTCGATTTTGTTCTTCTTGTTCGCAATTGGCATTCGCGTTTGCAGCGTGTCACGCTTACATCACGCTGCTAACGAACAGAAAAGAATTTGGTGAAGTTTATTGTGTTAGAAGACTTATTTAGTTTGTAATAATGACCATCAGATGCAAGATGTGTTGTTCGGTGCCTCAGTGTAATCAATATATAAAAGTACGAATTTATCAATACACAGCTTCTCTGCAGTTGCAAAATTATGCATTATGCTGGAGAACATTTCAAAAATTAGGAAACCTATTTCCAATTATATGTCTGTGTGTAGTAAGCACTACTCAGAAACCGATTAAGAAGGTAATTTCATATCAAGAATATATTTTTATGTTCAATCTATGTTTAATGCATTTTTTCATTCAAGGGAAATGGAATCCTAATGCAAAAGATCATTTTGACAAAAAGCTTCAGAAAAGTACCTCGAAAATGTTTTTTTTACAGCGATTTAATGTGCGCAAGATGCGTTGAAAATGTTTTGTTGTGTCCATGAAAAGGCTTTAAAAAGAACTAGGGGAAGGTAGTTTTGTGACATATCAAGGACATCTCGATAATTGCCGCCTGCGGCGGACATTGGCTGTTCTATAGTAGTTCTATTCATGTGTGAACAGAACATCGCAGTGGAGGTTCAATGTCTCGAAATCTCGAACTTTTAACATCTCTGAGATGTTTTTGTGCTCGCTGGGTACGCACGGAATGCTCAAATTTCCCACCGTAGAGGCTTATAATAGTCGTGGAAAATGACTATCATTCCTTGCTTGTTAGACAATATACTATTGTTTATCCATATTTTTCCACCAGAACGAGTCTGGTTTGTCTATATAAAAATGTCTAAGAAATATGTATAGTATATATATACGACTGATTACACGATTACATGGATCAACAATGAATAAGTAACTATAATTATATACAAATGTTTAGATAAAATGCGGATACTTACAAGCAAGTATACAAAATAAATGAGTAATCTATACATATTACGAATCATGTACATTATGTAGCTGGCGACAGGTTTGGATATATTAAGATATTATTCGTTTTGTACAAAAACACCTGTTTGTTACGTTTGTTCGTTGATTACGTTCTAACAACGAAACCCAAAATGTTAAGGAAAATTAATACCTTAATAAACCAGTGTCTTTACAGGTAACACATACACCGTTGGAGGTTACATCTCACACCTCAATCATCTGAATGATGGCAGATATATTATCCCCGTATTAACTCCCTCTCATGCTTTATTAGAAGCTTAAAAAAATATTCTTTTATCACGTGGAGGGAAATATCTAACTATAGTAACTCTCGTAAGTGTATCAATTTATCCAAAATTCACTAACAAATTGTGCTAATATTTTGAAGTATTTAGTAAAATAAACTATACTATACTTAAGATGTTCAAAGTGACCTTTCTACAAAAAAGTACCTATATAATATTGGCCATTTCAACAACGATATAACAGCTAGTATGCTTCCATCAGTAGTGAGTTAAATTAAATATACAGGTCGTTTGATATGATGTGACCTTTAATCAACAACTATAACTATTTTTTAGTTTTTACTAATTATTTGAGATCAGCGTCAAAAGTTCTTGGATATTGTTCAATATTTGACAAGCTTTGCATGATTGATATAAGTACAGATATCCAGGCAGCACCAGATATTCCATGAACCTCCCTATCATATTCCTTTTGGAATATTGGAATATCCTAGGAATAATCTGGAATATTCCCTAAATATGCAAATAGGAAATAGGAATTCCTCAGATATTCATAGAATATGTCCAAAAGAATATTGTTCATTTAATATTCCTGGAATATTCCAATGAACATATTCTAAAATGAAAAAAGTTACTCAAGATATGAGATCAAACCAGTGACTATCTTATCAGAGCAACGCCTTAACCACTAGACCAGTAATCGAATTAAATAGTAGAATAATAATTTGTGTTCATGTGTTGAAAAACATGGGAATATTCATGGAATATTTCATGAATTTTATGACACAGAATATTCAGTTGGGAATATTTCATGAATGTACACAACAGAACATTCAGTTGGGAATATTTCATGAATATACAACACAGAATATTCAGTTGGGAATATTCGTGGAACATTAATACCTGAATATTTCCTGAACAATCCAATTAGAATAGTCTGAGAATATTCACTTCTTAGTTTTCCTGCTGGAATATTTCTTCTATATTACTTTGGAATATATTACTGGAATATTTACATTGGATGTTTCAGAGACATGTATTATTCTAGGCGAGTATTCAGTGTATATTCGGAATATAATACTCCTGCTTCTTAGCATACTTAGAGAATATTCTACGTTTATCCAGTATTGTCTGGGATCGGTATACCTACCTTAGATATAGTTTAGATAATCTTTTTTTATTCGGATTGACCAAACAATTGTCAGTTTGAACAAAATCAAAAATAATGCATAATATATTTGACACGAAAAAATTCGAAGGTAAACATTACAATAATGTGATCACAACTTTATTCATGATCTCTAGTTCAATATATAATAATTCGGAATAGCACAAAAAGATATTTGAAATCGAATAACAACACATAACACGTTTCTACAGTCATCATATTCAATTGCTAAATGACCAATATTATCTATCTACTGAACTTTTGTGAGATTCCACACTAAAATGATTTCTTTGCAAGTAACATGCATCAAACACATGCAGTGGTGGAGTAGTTTTGAACTACTTCCTGATCTGTACTTCAGTTATTTGCACAAATATCACTGTTCAATTTGTATCACTCTGAGTGATATTGTAAAGCATCAATCACATTTTCTGAAAATTTCAGGTAAGTTTCCTTGTTTTTCATATATCAAACAACCACACTTTACATTCTACAATTTCAGGGAAGCAGTCTTTGAGGTAGGTAACATACCTAAAAACCTTTGGAAAATCTAGAGAAGGCCGATTTTTAGACACATTGAATGCCTACTGCTCACTATAGAAGTCTGAACTCGCAGAAGTAAATTTGTGTTGGACTAAGCGTTTCAAGAGTAGAATTTTGATTTTTCGTTGAAAATATTTGTAATTACATTGGATAACAAATTAGCTAGTATGATAGCAATTGATTTATGTAATGATATAGTAACAAGTTCAGGTACGCATAAAAATAACGAAGTGCAATCAAACTATTGGCTCATAACAAAATATATATTAATATTAAGTCAACAATTTTATACAAACAAAAAATAAACATCAGTGAAAAAGTAACAAAAATCAAGCAGTAAAAAATAGCACTTTATCTCTTTTAGAAGAGAAGAGGAAGCATCTATATGACCCAATGGGTTGCAATAATCATGCAATACTGAATGCCAAAAGCCGCGTCTACACAAACCTCCCAACAAACTACCATTTTTTACGTGAATACGTCTTCTGAAGGGTACTCGTACAGATTGTTCCAGTTTTAATCTGTCAACAATCGCTGGAGATCACAGAATTCACCAAATTAAGAAAAATTCCGATATAGCACATATAAACGGTATTTTTTCAGTTGCTATGCAACGTTACTGGAGTTTTCAATAAAAAATCACACAAAATTCGTTTCATAACATTTGTAGAAAACATTATATGTTTCAATAACTATATCTTACATCTCCTATTTTAGATGCATCTCTGAAAATCAGAGTATGAATTTCTTAAGACCTTATTGAAATAATTTCGGTTAACAGTGGTAATCGTAAATGAAGTGGGTGATTATATACACTCACCAGCAAAAAAAACCGGCCACTAAATAATTTAGCCAGATTGTTTGCTCTGTAACTTTTTCAATTCTTGTCCGATTTTGGTAAAATTTCGACCAAATCGTAGATTCAGGTTCCCAAATGTTAGCCTGAATATTAGTTCCTAGGAAAGTCTGATGACCCGATCATTATACAGGGAAAAACGAAAAATACTTTTTCAGCATCCTTAACTTCGTAACGCCCTGTGGGAACGTTGAATGGTTTAACTAAGCTTCATCATGTTTGAGATTGAAGAGTGATGTCTTCTCTATATGATGGTTTTTTATTCACGTCGATAAACACTTTTTAAAGGAAGATACAAGTGTTTCAGGAGAGTATGGATTTTTAAAATTTATATTTACAATAGGCAGGCCAGCGTAGCCTCGTGGTTAGAGCGTCAATGCTTCATGTTTTGAATTCAAGTGTGACCCTCTTTTGTCCCTTCTTCATACAACGGTTCTTGGATAACGTCAATATCTCCTTTTTGAGAGAAGATACAAGTGTTTCAAGAAATTTTCAATATCAATAATTCAGAACCTCTATTCTACCTATCTCAGGGGTAACCTCTAGAGGCTCATTATCGCCTTCGCCCAGCCTTGTCAGATACTCTTCAAAAGCTACGATTCCCCCTTCAAGGAGGATTTTAGGCAATTCTTCAAGGTTACTTTTGATTAATTTGATCAATTCGATGCCTCTGCGGTGGAATGCTGTAATTTAATATCGAGGAGAGCATACTCGTCATTGACTACAGGTCTGCTTCTTGTTTGTTCTTTGTAATCGATTTTCCGGTAAGTGCTAAGAAAGTGAGGTAGAAATAGGTGATATTAATTCTTGAAGTTGTTAATCAATAAGTTCATGTAAGTTCTGATAATTGGTAAAAGAAGTTGAAAAACACCATACTTCCTTAAAACACTCGTATCTTCCTTTAAAAATAAGATATTGACGTGAATCACAAACTTTTGTTTTAAGAAGGCATCACACTTCAATCCGAAGCATAATGAAGCCATGTTCAATCACGCAATTTTGCCACAGGGCGTTGAGAAGTATTGGGTGAAAGAGTAACTTTGGTTTTCCCCTGTATAATGATCAAGTCATCAGCTTTTCAGGAGAACTAATATTCAGGCTAACATTCTGGAACATGGATCTACGATTTTCTCTGAATTTCACAAAAATCTGACAAGGATTGAAAAAGTTATAGTGTGAACAATTTGGGAGTAAATTTTAACAAAGGTAGTTAATTTAAAAAACAAATCTGAAGAATAGTGTACTAAAGGCAGGTATACTGTATTTTATTTCCGAAAACCACTGCAAATTCAATTTATATGTCTTCTCATCTCTACAAACGAACCTTTTGCGTGGCAGATCAAAACTGAAACATCCTGTTATTCCTTTGAGGTACCTAATTAGAAATGTACTTCCTCATCAGTCAATTAATTTATACTGTATTCCACTGGACTGAAGTTATGTATAGATACGCAGTGTACATCTATTATTCTTGATCAATCACATTATGAAAAATAAAGACAAAGAACATTAAGTGCGGCAAAAGTTAGAGCCAGTGCTACGAGTAGAAACCGATGGAGATATAATAAGGATACTATTGTCAATAAGAACGTTTGAAATGGTTATCTACATAAGAATATATACAGGGTGTTTCGAAATTCGACCGACAACGCTTGACAGGTGATAGCCCTCGTGATTTCATAATCACTGAGATAGGGACAGACGGTCTTGAAGTGTTCAGTTCTCGAGATATAGGGCGTTGAAGTTGAGAAATTAAAATAGTTTTTTCTCGATATCTCATGAAAAATTGAATTAAATGCATTCAAATTCGGTATATGTTTTGATCTTCCAATGGTTAATTTTTTGACCAGAAAGACATTCCGAGAATTTTATCCAGAGGTGCGCTACAGACGGTTGTGATAACTTTTCCGCACATATTTTCTACGCCACTGATGAAATTTCAATTATTTCTAATTTCTCGAATTGATTGTTCAATTATGTTGAAAAAGTGCATCACCTTCAACTAAGCTAAAATGAACAGTTATCGAGATATTTGACTCAAAATAGAAGTTTGCATAGTAATTTTTCATCTTCCTCAGTATTAGAAAATTACGAACATTTTTGTTCTCTCTTTATGCGTGGAATAACTATTTCTGTTCAGCTATAGCATGAGATCTGAATAGTATCTAATCTACTCAACACCAGAAAAATATTTTTGCAATTTTCTACTACTGAAAATGATGAAATATTACTATGCAATCTTCTATTTTGGGTCGAATATCTCGAAAACTGTTTATTTCAGCTCAGTTGAAGGTGATGCATTTTCTGAACAAAATTGAACAATGAATTCGAGGAATTGGAAATAATCGAAATTCAATCAGTGGCGTAGAAAATATGGAAGGAAAAAATGCCACAACCCCCTGTAGGGCACCACTGGACAAAATGTCCGGAATGGCTTCCAGGTCAAAAAATGGCCCATTCAAAGATGAAACCATATACCGAAGTTGAATGCATTATATTCAATTATTCTTGAGATATTGCGAAACAACTATTTTCATTTCTCAACTTCAACGCCCTGTATCTCGAGAACTGAACACTTGAAGACCGAATGTTCCTATCTCAATGATTATGAAATCACGAGGGCTATCACCTGTCAAACGTTGTCGGTCGAATTTCGAAACACCCTGTAGATGCGCCATGAAACTAGAAAATCAACCCTTGGTTTCACCATAAGTTAAATTTAATCTATGGTTCCACCTAACACGTATTCACGTAAATACTTACGGGGTGTACCCCCAATGCAGGCTATGTACTTGTTTGGTTACATTACAGTTCCTATGACGTTATGACTACAGTATATCACAAATTCAGTACCTTTAGAACAGATCAACATTATTGCATATTCTAGGAAGAACTATTCCTCACAAAGCTGCGAGTTTGTGTCGACGGGGTTTGATCGAATATTATAATAATTTTTGGTTTTGTAGACCCAATATGATATGCCAACACTTATTATAAACATTTATCGTTTTATGGGACTAGATGACAGCTTGAGCTTTTCATACAAAAATAAAAAAATACATACAATATAAAAAATTTAGGAAACACTCTACACTACAAGAATACTGTAAACACCGTTATGTAAAGTAAGAAACATCTACAATCTATATGACTACGATTTATAAAAAAATCTAATGTTATATCAAGCTGGGATCTTTTTATAGTCATGCAATAATGACCGAATCTCTGTACAAGGTGGATACATCAACTGGATTAAATTACCTACGGGGGGAAGCGAATGAAAAATATGCACCTTCCCGTTAGCGAATTCATTCCAGTTGAAGTCCCCACCTTGTATAATAGTTCCACACTTTTCCAGTCACATTCTGTTGTTTCACGAGCAACATTTGCATTCAAAGTATAATCCATTACAAGAGAAAATCAATTCCATATTTGTTTGAATAATACATCCATCTAGGAAATGGAAAAACAATTCACGTGAATCGATGATAGATAAAGGTTATTATCATGCAAATATCAAAAATATAAAATAGTGTGACGAAGAGTAGGGTTAAAATTATTTTAACAATAGAATATATATTCACGAATCATTCAATATTTTAGAGAGATCATTCAACCAATGAATATTGAAATCATTGAAGTGATATCTTCATTACATAAATCGAAGATATATGTTCAGATTTCAGGAGGTTTTCAATTTCACTATTTAGTGATAATCGAATGGTACCTAGAATTCTTGGACACTCACACTAACTGGAAACTGAACACATTCTTGCCATAACTTAAGTCTACATTGTCTATAACCTATTTACAATTCATCTAATGCATTGCTTGATAATTTCACAGCAACTTCATTTCAAGGAGAGATAGGAACTTAACAAAACTGTTGAACTTGATATAAATATGATTGTAATCATACCAAATTCTACTAAACATTATCGACGCCTTCATGGTGCTAGAAGGTACACTTTTTTCATAGATATCTTTTGCTCTTGTAATGACTTGATTTGTCACTTACATAAAACAACTAAAATACGAGAGGAAAAAGTGTTAGTGGGGAAGTTATTACCATAACCAAGAGATACTGAGCACTTACAACATCCAGGAGGCATTGAAACAATGAACATTCTCTCAGAACTCAGACTTCCATTGAAAAAACCAACATGAAAATAAGGAAAAAGAAAACATAGCGACTAATTATCATTACCTACTGTAAGTGGGTGAATTGCCAACTCAAACTGATTGTATTTATCTCCAGTTTACACACCCTTGTGAAGTGAATAAATATACTCAGCTGTTCTTATTTTGATGTTGTTTTGTTTTTGATGGTATATTTGAATCATTTTTTTTGTTTTCATTATTACATCTGGTATTTTGATAAAATATATCATCCACCGCGTGATGTATTCCTTCTCTCACTTCCCATGAGTGTTTATTGCATATTTCTATGATTGCAATATTTGACATTATGATTTATTGTGATGTATCTAGATGTTGGGTTTTTTAGGTGATGGTATATCAAAATATTACCACGAGACCTTCAAATTTGATATATATAATTTTATACTCGTTCATTCGATGAAAATATGAGAACAAATCAATGGATGAAATCAGGATTCCATTGGAAAGGTTTTTTATCTAAATTCGGTCGGATGGAATGCTTTACCTTGAATAAATAGTAAATACCAGATACAATTCGAAGAACTAGATAATTTTGTTTTTCCTTGATTGAAAATTAATGCCATTTACTTTATCACTAACAAATTTAACAAGTCATATTAGATAGATTCTTGTGTGATGTGTGTTGCACCATACGTCGTTCACTCATACAATCTTTGATAATTTGAAGAAAAAAAACGTGTGTGTTATTATGTCGAATGAATTTTGGAAAAGTTATGTTTTGTTTCCTCGAAGAATTGATGATTGATGATTAGATTGCTACATATACAAGATATACCTATTAAGGGAACCAAGAAGTCATAAGCAGGACATCATCAAAATAAGTAGCGACAACTTCTTAAAGAAGAAAATATAGGGTAAAACAAGAATGAGTCGAAAGAACTCCATCAGTCCAAGAAAAAATTATTCAAAGAACTACGTCTATATTATTTAGACCTATCAAAACAATTCTAGCTATGGTGGTTTTTCTGAGAACTCATTCGAAGAGAAGTAATGAAAAATGGAAGTAAGATTCGAACACCAGTACTCCTGCGCATCGGTAATCATCAAAAATACACAAACTATAACCGAAAGCCTCCTGATCGAATCAAAAGTCCAAGAAAGCCTCCCGGTTGTTTAGCGTGCTCAGCTCTCCCCCCACATCATCCCCCAACCCCCCTCAAAAACCCCAGAAGAACCCTCTACCCTTTAACCCCTCAATTAGCCACCAACAAATGCTGGTACTGCCCCGCACTCGGGTACGGCCAGCCGCCGTCCAACAGTTTATCCTGCTGTCCCACAGGGGCGGCTGGCGGCCCGCCCATACCCTGCCCACCGCTCGGATAGTACTGCGCATGCGCATCGAGAGCCGGCTTGCCTGCCGCCTGATACGCGTCCGGACCGAGGAACTGCCCCGCGGAGGCGGAGTCAAACGCGGGGCGTGGCTCGTAGGGGCGTGTCTCGAAAGCTGGGCGCTGCGCGAAGGGCGGAGCGTAGGGCGGGAAGTAGTAGGCGGAGGGGTCGGGCGAGAGGGCGCGGCCTGCGGGGGAGTGGTGCGCTGGCGGATGCACCTGTTGCTGCATGGCGCGCTGCTTGATGTAGTTGGAGAACTCCGTCGGGGACATGCTGGAATCAGGGTGGAAAAGGTTAGAGAGTGACCACTAGGGAATACTACAAAATAATGATACAAGATTCATGAGTTATTTCCACAATTTCACAGGTCCACAGGTGGAATAAATAACAGTGGTAGATGACGGGAGGAAAACAACTACTTCCATGTCACAGGAAGGAAGGAATGCTCGAATTCATCTCCACAAATTTTAATGATGTTGTTACATAATCATTTCGGTCTTATAAAGGACCATCTTCAGTCTGATTGAAAGGTTTGGAGTTGAAAACAAATTTTTGATGCTACTGTTTCTTGCGTTGTTGTCAATGCCCATAGCCAAGAATTCAAATGTTAATGATAAAACGGGTTCTCAATAAATGAAGGGCCCCGTGCCCTGAGAAAGCAACATTATTAAAATTTGTGGAGATGATTTCGAGCATTCCTTCCTTCCTGTGAAATATATCACTCCACTTTGAGCAATATGGACTTCTACCAAAGATTAACTACTTCTATGGCTAATGTCTTGCAAAACATTGAATACCGTCATCCCGAAACCTATGCATCGATTCGTATAAGCGAGTATACTGTTATGATTCTCTCCCAAATGCCGAATTGTTGTTTGTAATACAACACTGAATTATGTATATAATTATCGAAATACAAATAATCCCTTCGCTATGCGCTCGTTATGGTTTCCTATAACATCATAATTTGTTTCGAAAAGGTGAAAGAATTTTCGATAAATATTAATAAAACGAGTTATATGTTTTGAGATTATTCCAGTCGTTAATTCATGTATGGAACAATAATTTTACGTCCCATTTTCATGTGCAGTTAATTGATGCGTTAGGTAACTAACAATGAATCAAAGAATTTAGATTGCATAATTAGCTTGTCATCAACACGACTGTCATGTCATTGTTGGAGTCAATATTATGGATACTCATGAGTCATGAGATTAGGTTGATATTGAAAGTGCCGATCATACAAAATTGGTTCAAATTTGTTCTATACAAATTAATATAGTGAGTGCTTATCACAATTCTGGTTGAAGTTTGGCGTTGAGTGTTGGGTATTCCTAAATATTGAAATATATTATGATATCCATGACAGCCTGCTGCTGGTATGTCATTTTGTTTTATTTTTGATTAAATTACCAATGAGGAAGCGGAATACAAACTTGAAAACACATCGTGTAGGTACCCAGTATCCAATCAACAGCCGAAATACTAAAACGAAAACAAGTTTTTGATTATCAACACAGAAATCCCAATCAATAAAAAAGTTGTAGGTACTTTGAAATGAATTATAATTTTTAGATTGTATAGCCAGGTTTATTCATAAAAATTAAAAAATTCCATACTATCCCATAACAATTTGTTCTTTCCAAGAAAAGCAAAAACTTTTGTGTCAAGGGATCACACTTCAATCCAAAACATAATGAGGCTGACTTCAATCACTCACTTTTACCACGAAGCGTTCAGAAGTTAAGGGTGAAAGAGTAACATTGCAGTAAAAAATAAAACAGTTCTTTAATAGGCGTTGAATAATAGTTGAAGGTTGCGGTGGCTCTATATATAAGGGCTTATTGCGTTCCCAACCCCTATTGAAAACAATATACAATAATGTGAATAAAAAAATCTGAAATTTTTCGAATTCTCATCATCGACTATATCTAATGCTTAACAATTTATATAACATAGAACACATATAACCTGTTTGATTCATTTTGAGATAATGTCTTTCAGTTGTTGTTTGTGTGTCTTAGTCATTAAATGAATCTGATATCTAGTACATCATTTTTATCGAAAGTTTTATAACAAAATGATCCGTTGGTTGATAAGGTAGGACCACAAAAAGTATTATTCCAGGAGCCCAAAAATTCATGGTCCGCCCCTGATAGAATGAATATTCACTTCCTTATGAGTTCTACTCATCTACAACTTTTTCATTTGTTATTCAGAAGTATAGAATTATTATTGTTTGCTTAAAACAGTTCCCTCAATGATCCTTTCATCATAATTCTACTCCTGGACTCGGATGTCACGCAGGTGTAGCTATAGTAGCCTCCGTGGTGACTTCAGTTGTATCCCTGCAAATGCAGGGTCTGCTGACTGAAACCACAATTGGTCTTTCAAAACACGTAGTGGCGTATCTCAGGAATATCTAAAATTGAGGTACAACGGATACATACTGAACTTTTGATGCCCTTTCGATTGCACGCAGTGGCGTCTCTCAAAAATAGATAGCTTCCGAGTATTCTGCTATGCTTCACTCGGCGTATCTGAATTTGAATACATTATTTTCATCACGTATAGACGTAAGTCGACTTACGCCACTTTGTGATTTCTTTCGTGCGTAATATTTTCAAACACATGCATATGGTGGCGTATCCCAATTTTTTCATAACTCTGCGGTCATACCACGGACAAAATAAAGGCGATTCAGTACATAGCTGCATATCGAACGCCATTCTACATGCAGAAGACCTCTTTGTACCTTCGCAACTACAAACTATTTTCAAATTGGCCAGACGTCAAAAGCCGTACGACGTTTTTCCTTCAAGATTTGAAGATTTCATTGACTCCAAAAAGATATCCCGGGATCTTAGGATATTTGCAGAGTAGGCAGAAGGATTCAATCAAATGGAGTGACATTATGGAAGTTGAAGTTTCTAAACCACTACCGGATACATTGTTCTTTAAATCAAGCCATAATGAACAGGATTATAGTTAAATAACGTTGAAGAGACAAAATTAGAATCTTAAATCAGTTCATCTACTTTCTTTCAATAAGGAGCCTAACAAGATATAGGGAAGGACAAGTATCGAGACTTGACATCTCTTTGTCAAGGAGTAACTCCTGTTGTCAAAGTACCAGAATACAGAAACTTTTACCCTCCACACAGTGACAATTTAGGTGGAGAAGCAAAAATTATCAACTTGTATTATTACTTTATGTTCAGTTTTTTTTTATTGGATGATTGCAATATTAGAAAAGGTGTTGTGAGCCGCATTTCGTTTATTTGAAAAATAGTCACGAAAGTGACCAAACTTTATTCTGCAATGAACACATTATTGGCACAAAGTGGCATAATAATATATCATTTGTTATTAATTTTTGAAAGAGCTGAAAAAATTTGGCGTTGTAAGCACTAGTGTGTATGTACCTACTCATCTGAAGGTACCTACCTGCAAGGTACAAATTGAAATCATTGCCTCAATTATTATTACAAATATCGTGAATAGTTAATCAAAAACGTTGAAAGCTTCTCCTAGAAAAGTATGAAATATGAGATACGCCACTACGTGTTTTGAGGGACAAATGGTGCGGCTGGCTTCTGTTTGTTGATTCCTTCGATTTACCAAGTATTGCGTATCATTTGCACATTTTTTCCACCGGTTAACTCTTTATGTGCTATGTCCAATAATGTTATCCTCGTTTGCTTAAAACAGTTCCCTCAATAATCCTTTCAAGAGCATGAATGCTCAGGACTTTCTGAAATTGAAAGTCCCTATTCAGATCAAAAGAACTATCGCACAGCTCAGGGTGTGTAATAAGTTCTCTATGAAATTCACTCTTAATGGTGTAACATACATAATTAACCCGAAGGAACTGTGTACGATATGCAATCAAAATAAACTAGAAACAATTGAACATATTCTGTTCGAATGCCCTATATATTGTGTCATGAGACCTGCAAACTGTATTTGTCTATCCAATGTAGATTGCTTAGTACAAGCACTAGAAAATATGACTGTCGACAAGGCAAAATTCATCGCAAATTATATTTGGAACATTCTAAGATTGCGTTCTTTTGTAATCAATGAATGACAGCTATGACAAGTATGTTTGTGTCCTAGTATCATAAGCCTCAACTGAAAACCTCAAGTATAGTGTGTGACACGCACGGGATGCAAAATTTCTCGCTCGTAGGCGAAAGATGGCTATCGTTTCGTGCCTGTTAAACAATATACTATTTTATTGTATCTCTATACCTTTTCAACTTCAATTTCGGAATCGGTGAGTTATATTTCGGAAAAAGTAATCTCGTTTTCAGAATTGGTTAGTTCGATTTCAGAAATGGTAAACTCTGTTCTGAAATTGAATGGACTTTTTCTGAAATTCATCTCACCGATTCTGAAATTGAGTTTACCATTTCTGAAATCGAACTAACCAATTCTGAAATCGAGATTACTTTTTCCGAAATATAACTTACCGATTCCGAAATTGAAGTTGAAAAGGTATAGTATTCTGGACACGCCGTGTGTCTCCTCTTTCTTAGGCACTCACCTTCCATAGGAATAAAAGACATAGACTCATTATAAATATTATGTCAGAACCTCAAACTCTTGCTGTGAAACTTTCATTTTTGGAAGCAATAAATATTGAATTGAATTGAAACAATCCTTTCATCATACATACATACATACATACATACATACAGGTGAAGCTAATAAAAACGTCAAAAGGTGCGGTTGAAAGTCACCGAATGCCACTCACCGATTGGCCCTTTTGCTGCTCGTCTTCAGCTTCGTACTCCCAAACTTCGTCTGCGCGAACGTGGCCGTGGTGAAGGTCAACGGCTGGGCAGACCTGGGCAGGAAGGGCGGCACGGGCGAGGGCGACCCCGGCGACCCCTTCCCGAAGCCCGAGAGGGTGGGGGAGGGGGCGGGCGAGGCAGGGCGGCGGCCGGGGGGCGCCGCGGGGGGCTGCGCTGCCGGGGGGTGCGAGTGGGGGTGGGGATAAGGGGGCACGGGCTTGGGGGAGAGGCTGAGGGCGGAGAGGGTGGAGGAGACGCACTCGATGGGCCTGAAGCATTGCGCTTCCGGGTTGAAGGTCTTCGTCACCTGGAAGAACGGAATGTGTTAGGAATAATAATAATTTATTTATTTATTGAAGAAATATTAACAGGTCGTCGTGGTCCTAATTACATGATTTCTCTTTCCTAATACTACCTAGAAACTAAATGTAAATTATTTAACTTGTGTAAACTTCCTTTTCAAAACAGTAGATATTTTGTGGCGACAAAGAAACAGAATGTTACAGAAAACTTCACTACAATGTCGATTCTATATGCTTTGATATGATTAATCATGATTTGTAAAACTAGGGTCCCTTGATGGAAATTGACGTTAAAGTCATCTTAACAGGGTACGGACAGATCCTCGTCTCCTCTCACGCGTTTATGAAATAGTTATATAGTGCCATCCTTATTCAATTCTGGGGATAAACACTAGATTTTTGACATTCGTTGTTTTTTAGGTTATATTGAGGTCACTGGCGTATTATACGTAATTTCCATATGGAATTCCTGATTCAACTATACCAAGATATAGATGAACAATCCTCTAGTTTTAGAGTTTACTACTCCAGCATAATCTCTGCGAGGTAGGGAACATATAAATTGTACTGAAAGCTTATAATGTATTTCACCAAAAGAGACTGTTCTTAGACTGTATACCAGGGTTGACTGAATTGACTGAATGAATTCTGATTTCAAGCTGAGCAGTAGTTTTTCTATGAGCTGAATGAACAGAGCCTTATGATTGAGAAATGGTGGAAACCTCGATGTGGGTATCTAAACTACTGCAGGTATTCTCATGTCATATTTTCGGAAATCCAACTCGGAGAAGAATTTATGGAGTTACTAATATCACACTATGTACAAAACTTCGTCCAGGACGAAAAGTAGGCTGATTAAAATAAATACGTAAAATATGTAGTAAAAAATAAAAAGTCATTTTCGAATAATTTATTGATGAAAGTAACAAAGAAGTAGGTATGCGCAGTATAACTTATAGACACGCTATTTTCACTCTTGCATCCTACATATTTTCTATTTGTGGTAGAGTAATAATTATATAAACTGATGTCTTTTGCCATATTGGATCCGTCATCTTGAATTTCCCAATTTTTACGATACAATCATTATCTCCTACCCCGAATACCCCCAGACACCAGTTTTAAATAGAATCGGATCTTCATTACAAAACAATCCGCCATATTGGATCCGCCATCTTCAATATCCCAATTCTGACGAAATAATTATAATCTCCGACCCCGGAAATCCCCAGATACCAATTTTGATTTTTATTGGATCCGCTATCTTGAATTTCCCAATCTTGACTAATCATAAAGTTCGACCCCGAAAACCCTCAGATATTAATCTTAAATAGAATCAGATCATACTTAGAAATTTCTTTCGCTATATATTGGATCCGTCATCTTGAATTTTCCAAGTTTGACGAAACAATCATTATCTCCAACCCCGAAAAACCCCAGATATCTTCCAATTTTGAATAGAATCGGATCATAATTACAAAACTCGTTTGCAATATGATCTTCCTCAACAAGTGAATACCCTGTACATACCTATTATTAAAATGTTGAATGATTTTCTGTAGCGCCCATGGATGTGAGGTGACAGCAGTGTCAGGGATGCCAGTAGACAAAACTGAAGTCTCTAGATCATTAAAAAAGAATGCAGCTATGATCTGTCCGTACCCTGTTAGATGACTTTAACGTCAATTTCCATCAAGGGACCCTATGTAAAACGTAATACCGTATATTAATTTGTCGTAAACGTATTTCATAGCGATATTCATTAATCAGAACCGTATTCCGTCGATACCGTAATCTATCAGCATCATGTTTCATCAAAACCGTAATCCATCGCAAAATTGATTCATAGGAACCGTATTTAATAGCGACAGTAATTCATCTCCATAAGAACTGTTGATATTCCGTAGTGCCAAACAATCAGAATGTTACAGAAATCTTCACTACGATACAATGTCGATTATATGCTTCGATATGATTCTTTATGATTTGTATCACATTGAACCAGACATTAATTTGTCGGAACCGAATTTCATAGTGACAGTAATTAACCATCAGAACCGTATTTCATAGGAACGGTATTCTATCGGAACGGTATTCCATCAGAACCGTATTCCTTCGGAATCGTATCCTCACCTCTCTATCGGCGCTCCTCTCGTCGTGCGCGTCCCCCTTGTTGTTGCCGCCTCCGAACAGCACCTTGACCTGCCCCTTCTCGCCGATGCGGTAGCTCACCTCGCCCGGATCCACCCACACGGCCAGCTCCTGGGGCAGGTGCTCGAGCACGTCGGCGATGGGCACGCCGCTCTCCACGGCGGCGCGTTCTAGAACCTTGTCCACGGGAGAGCCCGTCTTCAGGCACCTGAAATTGATTTAATATGAACTGAATTTCATGACTGAGAGTTGCAGGATGAATAGAGGTGTCAAAAAATGTCAGTGCTGTTTAGGCATTAAAGGCACCTGAGATTGACATAAAGAGAAATGAACTTCATAACGAAGAGATCTAGGTGGATAGATTCGTCCAAATGTCTATACTGTTTCGGCACAATAGGATCAATCAGTCGGTCTCGGTCCGCTCTAGTACCTTGTCCACGGGAGAGCCCGTCTTTATGCACCTGAAATTGACTCAATATGAACCTGAGAATTTCGTGACTGAGAGTTGCAGGATGAATAGAGGTGTCAAAAAATGTCAGTGCTGTTTCGGCATACCAGGCACCTGAGATTGACACAAAGAGAAATGAACTTCATAACAAAAAGATCTAGGTGGATAGATTCGTCCAAATGTCTATACTGTTTCGGCACAATAGGATTAATCAGTCGGTCTCGGTCCGCTCTAGCACCTTGTCCACAGGAGAGCCCGTCTTCAGGCACCTGAAATTGACTCAATATGAACCTGATAATTTCATGACTGAGAATTGCAGGTTGCAGGATGAATAGAGGTGACAAAAAATGTCAGTGCTGTTTAGGCATAACAGGCACCTGAGATGGACATAAAGAGAAATGAACTTCATAACTTGAAGATCTGGGTGGATAGATTCGTCCAAATGTCTGTACTGTTTCTGCACAATAGGACTAACCAGTCGGTCTCGGTCCGCTCTAGCACCTTTTGCACGGGAGAAGCTGTCTTCAGTCACCTTTAGAATAGCGATAAAAATGGAACTACACAATTTCCAGTTATATTTCAGTAAGCGCGAAACGTATCATTTGTACTTCAGAAAAGTGAATTGAATTTCAGAAATCGTTCTCAAGGAAAAATGTATAACTGAAATGATAGGAGGTGACTGGTATCAAAGCTGGTTCCAATAACTACATGAATAAAATAATCGACTCATGGTATACCCCCCTTCTCTCCTTTGGTTTTCTAGCTATATCTCTGAAATTCAGAACGTCGAATATGCTCACTAGAGGGCACTCAATCAATCAATCAATCAATCAATCAATCGAATCTGTATTCCTCTAGACAATAATAACATGGTGTCGGAAACGTCAAAATTCTTGAAAAATACATAAAACACACAATACATAGACACAAAGAAACGAAATACGATACAAAAAAAATATCACTGTACCGGACAATCCAAAAAATCTTGCACAGTATAAAAATAATTTTGCACCAAAAATGTTTTGAAGCGCGTTTTGAAAATTTCAAGTATTAAACTTGATTTAATATGCTCAGATAGATGATTGAAAATTCGTGGTCCTATAATTCACATTTTGGAATTTTTGGAGAAATATTCGCGTTCGAAATTTCCATGTACTCGATAAGTATGACAGAGAAAGTTCGATATTCGTCATTCGCCATTCCCTGTACCCTTCGAACGCCAATATCTTCGTAATTTACTGCAAAAATGCTGATATAACGGTTCAATTGATCAGCAGTTAAGTGAATCCTATTTCGGCCCACCAGACCTCATCAGTCGCTCTCGGTCCGCTGACAATTGAAACTACTGTCATCGGACCCACTTTATGCCCAATTTCATTGACATTTTGATAATAACTATCGAAAAATGTTATCCAAGGAAAGGATACATCTCTGATTCTCTGAGAATTGAATCTGAATGATAAATCGCTGGCCTCGGCTCAGCGATGGGCGGAGCCTAAAAGATTTCGAATTTCGCCCGCCGCAGGTCAAAATAGTTATTTATGTATCAAGTGCTTAAAGTAGACGTTTATGGCCTGCGGCATGAATAATTACATTACACGCTGAAGACCATAAACGCATTTTACGCACGGGATGCATACACAATCCAGGTCCGTCTTGAGAAAAAAACAGAAAACTTCTTTTATGTATATTTTTTTCTCTTGAATATTCAGAATGATATGTGCATATCTTTATATAAAGGAGAATACAATTTCTCTACTTCAGAAGATTTTGTTTTCAAATTCTTATCGTGTGTGTTTAATAGATGTAATTCAATGTTCGTCGTGACATATAGCCAGGAAAGTAGTTGTTTTCTGTTGAATAAACCGAGAAAGAATTATTATTTTCATCACATGGAGAATGCGAATTCTCAATGTATTTCTTTATATTCACCGTGTCCCAGCTGAAATGTCCCAGCTAAAAATTGTTCTAAAATTGTTCTTATCCGTCATTCGGTTGCCCCCTTACGAGCAACCCTCAGAAGTCTTCGAAAGACTTGTGCGAGCAAGAAATGACGGGGGTCTTACCTTTTAACGTGCGATCCCAAACACTTTCTTAGGCCATCAGAAAAAGTCTGCGTTCGTGGGTCTCGAACCCACGATCGATACCTCGACGTGAATCGATATAGAAGCATCGAAACACTGAGGTACGCCGGCCCTAAAATGTCCCACCCTGTAAAAAATCAACCTCGCGATCGAATGACTCGAAATTTGGTCACCCAGTATATTTGATGATGCTCACTCGAATTATGCTATTGAATAAATCGTAGGTATACAGGGTCACACGGAAGTGCACCTCGACTATCTTATTTGAATAGAGACACCCAGTATATTATTCCATATTCAAGTAGAGAACATTATTACAAATTCAAGAATGCCGGGTATGATGGGATTTTTTCAAACGACTACGAAGATATGGCAAAAAATCAAACGATTCAATAAAAAATGTAAATGATTAGATTTTATTAATATTATAACACGATTGAAATCGAATGAAAAGAAAATAATTAAAACCCCAACTGCTCAATATATTGTCCATTCTGCTGCAAACATTTCTTAGCTCTTTTGATAACGTTCATTGTGACCCTATCTATCACGTTGCGATCAATATGTGTGCATAAATTTGTGATTTTCTCTTTCATTTCTTCCATATTCACAATTGGCGACTCATAAACCTGTTGTTTCAAGTAGCCCCACAAATAAAAATCAAGTGGGGTGAGGTCTGGCGACCGAGCTGGCCAGTTGCTATCACCATCGAACAATTGGTGGATATTAGATTTTAATTATTTCCTTTTCATCCGATTTCAATCGTGTTATATTGATGAAATCTAATCATATAAATTTTTTATTGAATCGTTTCATTTTTTGCCATATCTTCGTAGTCGTTTGAAAAAGTCCCATCAAATCCGGCATTGTTGGAATTGTAATAATTAACTCTACTTGAATAGGGAATAATATACTGGGTGTCCCTATTTAAATAAGAAAGTTGAGGTGCAGTTCGGTGTGACCCTGTATATCTACGATTTATTTAATAGCATAATTCGAGTGAGCATCATCAAATATACTGGGTGACCAAATTTCAAGTCATTCGATCGCGCGGTGGATTTTTTACAGGGGGGGACATTTTAGCTGGGACACGATGTATATATATCAATTTTTTTGTGTTTTCAATTGCGCATCCGATTTGACATGTTTTATTGTCATCTTTTAAAATACTAATAAGCTTCATTTCGAGACATTTTTATTAACCCTTCAGTGGTGACGCGATGGTCTCAGAGACCGTAGGCAACCATTTCCACCAATAAAATTCGTTGTGGGGGGGTCTTCACGCTGACGCGCCGTAAGTGTATCCGAGATGGGGCAATAAGAGTTAGTGTGTATTGGCGATTTGAATCGATCAGTAGTTTTGCGTTAGCCATTGTTTACGGTCACCTAGACCGGTGTCACTACTGGTGTTACCATAAACTTTTTGAGGTAATCTGCTTGAAATTAAATTATTATTAGATTTCATCTACATTTCTCTCATATTAGTGCGATGTCAACATACGAAGCAGAACAAGAAAGACTTGAGAGCCTTATGAATACAGTTTTCCATGATGACAATGAAGAAATGTTATCTGAAGATGGAAATGAAGAACTAGACGAAGACCGTGTGGAAATGAATGAAGATTCGTCTGATACTGAACAAGAATTTGAGGAGGTAGATTCAGATGAACGTACTGGTCCCGTTTTCCTTGGTAAAGACAAAATGACAACATGGAAGAAACATCCTAATCCATCAAATTATAAAACTAGGAGTGAGAATATAATAAAAATCAAGATTCCTTCTGTAAGACGTGAATTGCAAAATCTTCAAACGCCGCTAGAAATTTGGCGCTCATTTTTTGATGACGACTTTCAGCAAACTATAACTGTGCAAGGCCAACAAGACGCTGGCAAATGGTTGTATTTTATTGTTTATTGAACATATCTGGCATGAATTCTCAAGTGATATATGTTGCAAACACTAGAGAGAAGATTCTGAGAAGAAAATTTCTTGAAGGTTTGGCATTCAGTCTAATTGAACCCCACCTAAGAGTTCGAATTCAATTGACCACTCTGCCAAAAGCCATTCGCATCCGTATTTCCGATATTTGTAACATACCACCACCAGAAGAAGAGATACAACAGGAGAGAAGACTTGTGGGAAGATGTGCAGAATGTGGTTATAAGAAGAATCGTAAAACAAAGTATAGTTGCAGAAAGTGCAATAAGTTTTTTTGTTTGGAACATGTCGGTGTTGTTTGCAATAATTGTTCCCGTTTTCTGAACACAGCTCAATAACATGTTTTCTTTATACTTAAAAATTTTGAGAAATATATACTTTTAGTTCCAATGTGTTTTTCTTTTCTTTTGATAGCAATAAATTTCATAAATTCTGAAAAACATTCGAGAATTTCATATATGGTCTATGAGACCGGCGTCACTACTCGTGTTATACTTTTTTGCGTCACCACTGAAGGGTTAAACTCGTGATTTGAAATCCAATTTTATTACAAAAAAATAACAGTCTTCAAAGTTCAACATCATTAGATTGAAAGTAGGTGATTTATCGATAGATTTTTTCGTTTGACAAATTAACTTGTCTATGATTTTATAAATTTTCCAGTATATTTTCATTTTATTCTTCACTTTTGATTTATGAGCTACGGTAAAGTAGGCTGTGCAAAAAATTCTGATATTCTGACAGTTCATAATCATGAATATTTCGAAAATTATCCCTCGACTCGGAATAATTTTCAAAATATCCATGAGCTCAAAAAAATTTCCGGAAATAATTTGACCTCTAATGGTATTACAAGTGAAAATACCTGAACGCTGAGCCCTTGAAGGGCTTCTCGGGGTACCAGTGCCCCTGGAATTTGTCTTTCAACGCTTTCTCCAGTTCCTCGCCGAAGATATTCACCCTCCGCCTGGGTAGTTTGTTGTACAGGTACGATATCACAAAGTTCAGCGCGACTTGCACTTCAATATGCATCTTTTTCTTTCTGGGTGGTGTTCTTTTTTTCGTGGCGGACTGTATCAGCACATCGAGTCACTTTTTTGGAAATGGGCCTGCTGACTGTATCCGTTTCTTTTCTCGAAATTAATTAAGGTACGTGTTCTGGAACAAAGGAAATAGTATTTGTACGGCTATAATACAAAATTGCTCTTATTTTACTTTATATGGTCGAATTTGTATGTCATCAATATTATTTCTTTATCCCAGGCAACCAGATGACGTTCCAGTGACGTCTTTTTTACGTCACTTGAATGAACAAGGTGACGTCAGTAGTTGACGTCGCATTGACGTGACAATGACGTGAATAAGTCACAGCCCAATGACGTCATATTACTCACGTCGAATTGACGTCATTCACTCACCAAACTGTGACGTCCGACTGACGTCATAATGACGTCAAAATGACGATTGAATTTGGCGATGACACGTAAAAAGAGATTCCTTTAACATGGTGTGATAAACACCACTAGAATCTGACGACATAATATAATATTGATTATTGCATTGTTGAGTCTGCTTGGTCGGTCCCTCCTGTGTCATGTTCATTCAATCGCCTATTCAGCAGCACCATCCTTCAGTACGCAGCTCCATCAGAATGCAATCAGTTACCCGTATTGGTATAAAAAATTATGTAGTTTGTGTCGGCGAGATGTAAGCAAACAAAGAATAGTTTGATAGCAATGGAAAGGATTTTGGCGAATTTGGCTTCACTTTGTTGAATAATGTATATTGATGCATTCTTTGTCACCTTACAAAAATCTGAATAGCAAATTATTGAAAAATTTCCTAAATGACGAAGCTCACCAAATTGGTACGTCACAACGACGTGATTTTTAGACGTCATAGATACGTCACTGCAACGTCATAAAAGTAACGGTTTCAATATAGGTATACCTGAACAATCATGTTTATATATACATAGCTTGTTGGTTTCCGAGATATACAGTGTGCCGAAGTTTTTAGAAAAAAGTTTTTCTACTACTTTTCGGGTATATCGATAATTAAAATAAAACTTGCATGTTGATTTGCTTTCATGAGTTATACTTCTGTTTCACATGATAATATATAAGTATCCATTGTTTAGAGAGGGTCTGGGGAAAATGGACGTCGACAGGACGTCCCTGCAACGTCATGAAACTGACGTCTTTTTACCCATCTAAGTGACGTCCACTCGACGTCGAAACAATGACGTGATTATCACGTCATAGAGAGTACGTCATAGTGACGTCATAAATTGGTGTGTGACGTCTCTGACGAAAAATCACCAATCAGAGACGTCACAGTGGCGTGATCATTCGTCATCTGGTTGTCTGGGATCTAATATCACAATGACTCCATTGTGTTATTATTTCAAAAAATCTCTGTCTAATAGATGAGCATTACTTGACAGAAAATCAGATGGCTACAAGACGGAGAAATCGAAAATGCCGCTGTTATCTGTTACAGCCGTAGAAAAATTATAGTGTATAACTTGCACGGAATGCTAATTTCCTACTCGAATGATTGCATCATTCGCTTATGGCTCATGCTGCAAACTTCATTCTCGTAGGAAATCACTATCATTACGTGCTCGTTAAACAATATACTATTTTCTACGGCTATAACACAAAATTGCTCTTGTTTCACTGTGATCGATACATCAATGGAGTCATCAATTTTAATTCCGTATCTGTTTTTCATGAATATACCCTGAAATCTCAGTTATGAATGATGCGATTTTACTAAAAATTTTGTGGTTATCGTATCCCAGCAAACATTGAACTAGCGGGAGAAGTCCGGCCTAGTGCAGGTTAGTCTGGGAAAGTGACGATGCCGGGGTATAGGTAATGGGCCGATGATTTTCCCATGCCAAGTAACCATCAGTTAAAAATACGATGATGGCCTTGTGATGGTAAGATGCCTGTAACTAATTGAATACTAACGATATCTGGCCCTTTGCTGGCCAATTTCATATTCACTACCCGTCCCCCTGGCGGATGTTTTGGGAACGTCTACATCAACAATCAGCTGATCAATGTCATATGTGACTAAGATGGCTGACTCTCGTGTGTGGTGATCGCGTACTAGTTTGTTTATGTCGAATTAATGTGGTCCCCTCTTTCCGTGGTGGTTATTTATGATGGCAGGAGTATTCTCAATTGATAATAATAAAAGACAGATTCTTCAATTATGATAATATTGAGTAAGTATCAATGTACCTATACATAGTGTTTTGAATGTCATTATTTGATGCATGTGTTTGGTATCTCGTAACCTTATATACCTAATGATTATGATAATTGGAGTTAACTATACTTCTCTAAAAGCAACCATCATTTTTAACTCGTTTGTTGCTATCGAAAGCAATCTCAGGTTATGTGAACCTATCTCTATATTGAATAACTGAATAACAATAAGATTTCAGCTACAGAATTACCTGTGCCAACACCATAATAAGAATTGAAAAGCTCCATGTTATCACGTCATTTGACTATATTATAAAGTTTTAAACTCATGCAACTCATACACCACTAATATAAAACAAATGATGCATTTTATATTTCAGAAGTACCTACCTCACAACGAAGACTCAAATGCTACCCAATAAGATGTAGATACCACACACCAACGTAAGCAGTCACTCCGAGAAGTTTCATCGTTGAAGAACAGAGAGGTTAAGAAGATATCATTGTGTCATTCATAACATTGTTTTCTTGAAATCTGGAATGTGTCTGATTTATGATGAGAGGGTTATGTTGTGAAATAAAGAGGTACTAGAACTTTCAGATCCTTTGGACCCCTACCCCTCCCCTACCTCGATAGTATGTAACCAATGTCGTTAATTGGCCATTACAGTCCCATCATTTATGTATATGCTAGGCTTGCTATGAGAAACTCAATGTGTCGATTATGTTGTACTGGCCTTTTGCCGGGGAACTGAATATGATTGCTGGGTACCCAGCACTGAGACCAGCTGCCGGCCGCAGTGTACCTACTGATATAGGTATAGAATCCCGCATATGGGACCATTTACTGGGCCGCTGATGTCATGTATGGGAAAAATATACTAGGCCATTGATGCCCCATATCAAGATGTTTGCTGGGATGTTAGAACAATGAGGTATCTGGCGTAGTGTTTTTGCGGGGGGCAAAAAAGGCATTTATTGCGGAAGAGGGTATACTTCATTGTTTTAACATACAATCACCACCAAAATTCAAGAAAAAAATCATTATCAACTGAGATATCAGGGTGTATTCATGAAAAGCGGGACACACTGCATGTATATGTATAAAAATAGTGCAAAATGTATGTACGACTGCACCAAATTGTCTGAAAGTTGGTGTGGAGGTAGCTTAGAACCAGGCGACGGACAAAGGATATTTTTTATCCCAGTACTATTAGGAAATTCAATATGGCGGTTCCAATAAGGCGGATTTTGTCATTATGATCCGATTCCATTCAAAATTTGTATCTGGGGGGTTCTCGAGATCAGAGAAAATGGTTCCTTCGTCAAAATTAGAAAAAATTCAAGATGGCGGATCCAATAGGGCGGACGACTTTAGTAATTATGATGCGATTCTATTCAAACTTATAATGTAGAGATTTTCGGGATCGAGAATTATGATTCCTTCGTCAGAATTAGGAAATTCAAGATGTCTTATCTAATATTTCTAACGAGTTTTGTAATTAGGATTCGATTCTATTCAAAATTGTTATCTGAGGGTTCTCAGGGTCGTAGATTATGATTCTTTCGTCAAAACTTGGACATTCGGGCGTAATTTGGAAATTTCGAGATGGCGAAACCAATATGGTGGACGAGTTTTGTGATTATAATCTGATTCTATTCAAAATTCGTCAGTCAATTATAATTTTTTCGTCAGAATTAGGAAATTCAAGATGACGGATCCAATATGGCGGACGATTCTTGTAAAAATGATCCGATTCTATCAAAAATTTCCATCTGGGGTTTCAGGAGTCGGAGAATATGATCCTTATTTCGTCAAAATTGGGAAATTCAAGCAGTGGACTGAAGAAACACGCTTTTTTAGATAGCCGAACTCGAAAGAAGTAGAAAATGAAATAATAATAGTGTGTTGATGAATATTCAAATGAAAAAATATTTTCTAGAAATAATGAAAATAAAGCGATAAAAACGAGAATTCATTTCTAACTATCTATGTTTCAACATCTTTAATCATCCTGCTTTTGATGCGTTGTGATTGAATATCAATAGAATTTACATGTTAACAACCCAAACAAGCACGTAAAAACATAGACCACTTGATTATACCTAAGTACGAAAATTTGTTTCATAATGAAAAATACTTGTTTTCATTTGCCAAAATTTTCTTCATAATGAAAATCCCTGTTGAAACAGAACAATAATATTTATAAATCGGTAGCAGATATTCAATTCGCATATTGTGATACAGTATAGTAGAAAATATAATGTTTTACTATAGGTTAACGACACCAGTTTACTGATTGAGCGTACTTATAATGAATCAAAAATATTGTTGATAATCTCAAGGGCTGACACTAATGAAAGGAAAAATCACTCTTTATAATTATATATATAGGTACATATTTAAATGTTGGCCTTCATTCTGGCCTTCTGTGTTGATACAAGGTATAAAAACGATCAATTCAGAATTGATCAATGAAAATCGTCCTGGATTATAGTGTGACATTATTTTTTTAGTGTCAGTATATTTCTTGTTGTTAAAATGTTGAAAACGGTAGCAAATTCGATCCCGAATCGCCCAGAAAAGTATAAATTCGATAATAAATCATTTTTTACAGAAAATTATATTCTCAATATATTGAAACGAGAGTAATGATCATTATGATGAGAATTATCATTACATATTTGAATGTTTACAACCTTCATCACTTCCGTTTGACACGAACAACTCTTTTTGTTACGAATTATGATTCAACATGAAATTACCTACTTTTCCAAAACGATATTCCATACTTAATGTCATGGAACATCAACGCACTCTTGTGGTGATAATTTAGAAAGAAGATAATGCAGAATGTTTAAATCTTATAAAATCCCAATGATAACAATATTAGATTAAGTATTGATAATGAATTGTACTTTGTTATATTATCATCGGG